GCAGGCCTACTTATGGCCCAGCAAGCAGCTCTGGGCGCATGGGCAGAGCCCTGGCAGGAGGCCCCCGTAGCTGTCTGTACGACCACGTGCACAGCAGTGCGAGTCACAGCTGCCAAGAGGCGGGAGCAACCTGAGCGCCCATCGACAGACAAGTGCACCAACGAAACGTGGTGGATACGAGGGGGGACCCCGAAAAACCCAGAACTACAAGGAGACCCCCTTGTAGGACAGGCTTCCCCCGCTGGGCGAGTGTGCTAGGAGCCCGTCTGCATCCATGCACCACCTGGTGGTGTTGTGAGAGGCTGCGTTCGGCTTCAGTGAATTTTTTGGAAGACTCTTTCAACGCGTTTGCCCATTTCACGATGGGTGATTGACGAGCGCACCTGCCCACACTGCACTGAGTGTTCAGTAGTTTTGGACCAAAACAGCATGATCCCCATACCCCACCCTCCTTATTTACCCCATCTCACCCTGAGTGGCTCTTTTTTTTTGTTTGTTTCCCCACGTGGAAAAACATCTTCAAAGAGAAACATTTTGCCAATGTGGAAGAGGTGAAAAAAAAAAAAAAAAGGCAGAAGCACTAAAAGGCATCCAAATTGACGAGTTCAAAAGCTGTTTTGAGCAGCGGAAAAAAATGTCTTGGTGTATTGCATCAAATGGAGAAGACTTTGAAGGTAACTGAAATTTCAACATGTAAGAATAAATACACAATTTTTTATAAATAAATTCCGGGTTTTTTCTGGGTCCCACCTCGTACATACAATGGAATAGTATTTAGTCTTAAAAAGAAAGGAAATTCTGACATACGTTATAACAGGGATCGACCTTAGAAACATGATACTAGTGAAATGCGCCAGTCACAAAGGACTAATGCTGTATGATTCCACTTATGCAAGGCACCTAGAAGTCAAAGTCCTAGACACAGAACGTACAAAGGTGGCTGCCAGGGGCGAGAGAGGGAAGCAGATGGGGAGCTGGTGTTTAAAGGAGACAGTTTCAGTTTTGCAAGATGAAAAGAGTTCGGGGGACAAATGGCGGTGATGGGAACAGAGTAAGAATGTTCTCAATGCCACCGAATGGAACACTTACAAGTGGCTGAGATGGTAAGTTTCATGCTACATGTTCTTTACCACAACTGAAGATAGGTTTCCCTTTAGAACGTTTAAGGAGGGACACGATGATGCTTCCAGAAGGGTGGGGTGCCTTAGAGAGAATTCTGCGCTTACTGGGAGCGACTGGAAAGGCGTGTTAGCAAGAAAAAGAAAATGGAATCAGCATTGCTGAGAGAGTCCGTTCAGTAATCAGGAGGCTATAAGGAAGATCTTGTGCCTCAGTTCTCTGAGCGCCTGCTAAGTCGCTAACCTGGTGCTAAAGTCAGGTCAAGGCTGAGTCATAAACATCCCAGAAAAACTCCAGAGCGGACTTGACGCACCTAATCGCATATTAGAACTAGTCAATCCCTGTTACCACAGCCAGCCGTTCTTCCCTGGCATGAAAGACTTACACTTGGCGATTTTTGCCTTTCTGAAACCTCTCTGCTCTATCCCCAGGCGGCTTGGGTTGGTCCCTGGACATGCCTCTCCCAGACTGCAGTCGTTTTGCCCAAATAAGTGCCCTCCGTCCTGCACTCAAGCCTGAACGGCTCTGGCTAACAGCAGTGAGGCTGACGGCCCGGACCGGGAAGCACGGAGAAGAGAGACCATCCATTTAGCTCCTTAGATACCACAGATCCCCCAACGCCGCCCGGGACCGTCAGATTTGCGGGGAAACGCCATCAGGCTGCTGATTCATGTGAAGTTTAATGTGTCTAAAATCCTGGGATTCTTTTTTACACGGACTGCTACCCAATCTATACTCCTTCTATACCTGTGGTATAGATTTCAAGATTAATTTACAATACATTGTTTCGGCTTTGCTGTTGCAGCTTGTCCAGGCAGCGCGGAGTCCCTGGGGAGTGCCTGCCCCGGGCGTTTGTTATCTCTGACAGCTGTAAGACAACTGCAGATCTGATAAGCAGGCCTCTAATTCCTCCACCGCAGGAATTCATTGGCTGCGCTGTGCTCCAGCTCAGGTAAAATCCCTGTAGGTGTTAATAAGTCACCAATATATTATCCTCACCGAGCTCTCTGGAATATACACAGGATGGGTAAAAAACAAACAAACCAAACAACCCTTTCCTGATATGCATAGGAAATGAAGCATAGAAATGCGATCCTGTATATTCTTCATATGGGCTTTAGCGTAATTTATTTACAAGACTTGAATTTCAGGGAATTAGCTCCTTGTCCTTAAGGCTAGAACTGCCCTTAAAATGAAAACATCCCGCGACCTGGCACCCCCGTCAGTGGCAAGCGGAGGCAAGCCCCCTGTGGAACCCCAGGCGCCACACGTGCCTTGCCGTCGGGCACTCCTTCCACTCTGCAAGGGGCCACGCGATTGTTTTAAATTCTTCAGCGATTGTCTGCCAGTCCCATCAGCCCACTGGCCATGGCTTCTGAGCTGGGAACGTGCAGCAATTCAAAGCCCTTTACAGCTTTCTCCTACCTCATCCCGTTTGAAGGACATTTTCGGACTTGCTGTCTTCTTGAAACTACGTTGTTCAAAATGCTCTTTTTACTGAAGAATTTAGCAAGAAGACAGACCCCGTCCCCTTGGGGACGCCGCGCTGTGCCGCAGGCACTGGCCCCCCGACCCTGCGACCCGGCGCCCCAGGCCTGGCAACGGCGCAGCGCCCCGTCCCGGCACAGCGGTCACCGCTCCTGGGGCTCCTGCCACCACCCTCAGCCGCCCGCGCGCGCCCCACGTGCGGCCCCAGCTCGGACAGCCCCTTCCCAGGGACCGTGACGTGTCTCCGGACCTCCTGCTTCTCTCTCGCGGGCAGTGCTCCCCTCCCGGGCTTCCCTGGTCACCTCGAGGCCAACTATTCCCACGCCTGCCCTGACCGCTGGACCCCGCATTCCAGGTCTGTCCTGCTCACGACCTCATGGTCAACGATGACAACCACCAACATAGAAAAAAAGGCACCGCGTCTCCCCCCCTCAGACTGGGCCTCTTCCGGATTTGTCCGTTCGTGGAACCTCCCCCTCTTACCTAACCAGCCCCTGGTCCTTCCAGTTATGTCTCACACGGCCCTTGGGTTCTGCCTCTCCTAACCGGCACTGTCACGGCCTTAGGTCTGGCCTTCGTCACTTCGTCACTGCTCGACCCCCTGCTCGCAAGCCTTCACTTAACCCCACCCAGGGCTGCGTTAGGCCAGGAGGTCCAAGGATGAGCCCGGGGAAGCTGGTGAGAAAATGGGGTGGGGCTGAGTGTGACGGCCGGCCACAGAGCGTCAACGTGGCTCCCGCAGGAGAAGGGGCAGCGGAGCGCAGCGCGAACGATGCCGAGAACCCTCGCTGCCATCACACGGGGCGGGCTGGCGAGGGGGCCGGGGGGGGGAGTGGGCGCAGAGGCTGGGAGCCGGCGCTAAAAGGAGGCCATTCCAGGGCCTCTTCTCTGCCCTCCCTGCCCCTCCTCCTGCCCGTGCCACAGCCCGCGTCGTGCCACCATCTGGGGTCCCCTTGCCCCCTCAGCCCCCTCGTGCCCCCGTGTGGCCGGCCCCTCCACCCCTCCCGCGCTGAAGGCCCAGTGAGCGCTGGGCTGTCCTCTCACTCATTTTCGGCTGTTTCTTGGATGCTGAGAACAGTGCTGGGTGCGTAACAGAAACTCAGTAACTGTTTCCTGCTGAAGGACCTATTCGTGTTCTCAGTGTTCCCTCAACAAACACTTTGCATGAGACGAGGAGGGCAGCCAGGAGCTGACTGCCAAACGGCCCGTCCACGTAACTTTCAGGAGCTCCTTCCCTGGCATCTCCGGTCCCGAGCCCCTTCCGCCGCCTGCCGCAGGGAGCTGGGCCCTCCGACGTGGCCCCGGCCCCGTGTCTCGGCTCTACCGCCCAGGACAGCGGGCAGGGGAGCAGTTAATTACAAAGAAGGAATTTAGTCGGGTCTCCTAATCGCTCCCGAATCCCAAAATGTGGAGCCGTGGGGTTATGCTATTGTCTGATGGGTTGTATGTGCTTCTTCGTGACTGGCTGAGTTTACATAATTTCCAGAGTAATTCTCTGCAGGTCGACAGGTAGCTAACTGGATCGCAAATATTCAATTGTGTCTTCCAATAACTGAGATGGGCTACAATGAAGACGAACTCAGATGGATTACCCAGAAACTCATCCATTATTCTCTAGTTGACAATAACAGTTAGATAAAAATCGATCCCCCCCGACCCCCACGAAAAAAAGGAACATGACCAGAGCATATTATGCATCTAGGAACATAATCAGAAAAGCGTCACAAATGAAGGTGGTACAGGCCCTTTTTTCTGACTCCATTCATTTTTCCATTTAATTTCTTCCAGTGCTTTCTATGTGCTAGGCATACTTCTAAATGCTGATGGTTCAAAGATGAATACAATTTTACGCTGCCACTCAGAGGCACAGTGTGAGGGGTGTATCGCTAGCTAATATAGTACTTTATAACCAAAGTTCTGGGAGAGGGGAAGATATTTTCTAAAGTTTGTGTGGTCAATACACCATACCATGTTGACAGCTATGCTCATAGCTATCTTGCCGTAAGGTATTTCTCATTTGAACCCTGCTTTACAGAATTTTAAAATATTTGAAATTATAGAGCATTACTTAAAATATCCAAACCCTGATATTAAAGAATATGCAGACTTATCATCATATAAACACTAAGTGTACTGGGAAAGTATGGCAGTGTAGGTCCATTTTACAAAACCACAAAAATTCAGACCAAGACTTGAACACGCGCTCGGAAGCGTGGAGGAGAGAGGAGGCGGAAGGGCCTTCTGAAGGGGGACAGGCTGAAGGCCCTGCCGCTGGAGAGCGGGCCGCTGCCTTGGGGACCCGGGGGACGGCGCGGAGCCCAGCGTCCCCCAGCGGGCGTGCTCGCCGCCGACACGGCTCAGCGGGCCGTGCGACGACCCGTCGCTCCCCCTACCTGCCCCGTCTGGTGATGCCTGGCAAACTGGTTCACCACCCGGTAGTCATTTGCGAAGTACTCCATCAGGATCGAAGGAACCTCCGCAAAATCGGTGGGGCACCTGGTCCCTAAAATGAGGGAAAAAGAAAAACAAAAAGGTTGGCAAGAGTCAAATCAACGTATTTATCCTGCTTTTCATGTGTTCTTTTAAAACTTTTATTTGTACTTCTGATGAATATGATAAGCTTTAATTCATTAAATCAATATTTTATTTCTATAAAATTATTGCACATATTTGCAGAAAAGTTTATTATAATCCTACATATTTTCCTGTATATCAAAAGGAAAAGAAAATATTTGCACAGCTGGATAAAACACCTTGTAAAGCAGTGACTCAAACCCTCTCCAAACAAGCCTGGCTGCAGCTACGCTGCGCTACACGTGAAATGCAAATGAAACTCTTCTGACCTGGAATAGAGCATTTGTATTTAATTCACTGAATTCCACCACCAAAGGCTTTCATCCTCCATTTCTCGTAAAAGAGCTCCATTGTATGCACTGGCTGTCTCTTGTAACAAAGCAGATCCTCAGTGCAGACAGAAAGCAAAAGTACTTAAAGCAACAGATCCCGCAGGAACTTCTGTGGTGACACTTTACCCTCCGGTCTGGCCCCTCTGCAATCTTTTCACTTACCTTCTCCCCCTCCCCGCACAAAGACTGTGTGAATAAAGTTAGTTAAGAAAAACTGAATGGGAGCAATGTATCGGGCGGTTGAAGGCGACCGTATCTGACTGTGAGCTTACGAAGGACGGCCGACAGGATGAAGAGGACAGTCTGCAGTGTCCTCAAGTGCGGCCACAGGTCAGCACGGAAGGCTCTGATTTTATGCAGGAGGGAAAGTACACGGAAAACAAAAAGGAGCTTATCACACTTTTTCAACATGTTTTTAATATGTTTTCTAACTGATTTTGGATAAAATAAGGCAATATGCATTCAATTACTCTGTGTTAGCTACTAAGAAGAGACATATTTACCGGGGGAACCCAAAAAATCCCAGAATTTATTTATAAAAAATGGTGTATTTATCCTTACATGTTTAAACTTCAGCCGCCTTCAAAGCCCTCTCCCTTGGATGCAGTGCACCTATCGAGACGTTTTTCCAGGGCTCAAAGCATTTTTGGAACTTGTAGCTTTTGAGGCCTTTCAGTGTTTCTGTCATTGTTTGTTTTGCTTCTTCCGCCTCGGCAAAACACTCACCTTTGAGGACTTTTTTCATCCAGGGAAACAAAAAAATGTAGCTCAGGGTGAGATTGGATGAATAGGGATGGTAGGGCATGGGGGTCATGTGTTTTTTGGTCAAAAACTGCTGAACATGCAGCGTGGTGTGCACAGGTGAGCCTGTATCTCTCCTGCTGTGAAATGGACAAACGCGTTGGAAGAGTCTTAAAAGAAAAAAATTTCACTGAGGCCGAACACAGCCTCTCACAACAACGCCAGCTGGTGCACTGATACAGATGGATTCCTAGCACGCACACCTAGCAGCAGAAACCTGTCCCATAAGGGGCATGTGCTCCGGAAGATAATTCTGGGTTTTTTGGGGGCCCCGCCTCATATTCACATACACACAGAGCCCCAAACTTAAATTTATAAAGTACAAACTGTAAAGTGTTACAAACTCAAAAGACAGATAACTAAGACGTCCTCCTCGGTGACAAGTGCTAGCAACGAAGGAGAGACGTGTAAGAGGACTGGGCTGCACAACGACCGAAAGGACAAGGCGAGGCAGCCTGTGGTCAGCGACCACGGGACGGCGCTCAGTGACCCGAGCTCCTCCGTAAAAAGCTTTCTCCCCGCGCGTGACGCAGTGCGCGGTTCTGAAGAGCGTGCTGAAGAGACGGCTCACCCGTGATGTGCTGGTAACGGGTCCGCCCCAGCATGGAGTGCATGGCGTGGCCCATCTCGTGGAAGAGGTTTTCCATCATGCCCGGCGTTAGCAGAGTCGGTAAGTTCCTCGAGGACTGGGGGAGGCTCAGCATGAGAACCACGACTGGGAGCTGATAGTCCCCGTCTTCCTTTAACCTGCCGCCACGGATGGTAAAGTGGCAATCCTTTAAGAGTCAGAGACATGACAGAAGGTAGTATTCGGCGGTCTAAGGGGTGGAACGGTCTTAATGAACGTGAAATCATACGGAAATGTGCTGAGTTCAAATTATAACTTAACTCTGTTCTTATTCTATTTACACACGCATTTTTCCCAACTCTTTATCGTGCTAAAATTTCATTTTTATTTTATCACACATAGTTGGCGTGAATGAACTAACCAGCACTGAGCTCATGTTGATTAATTCACTCACTCCAGAAACATGTACTGAGCGGATGCTGTACCGGACGCTGGAAATGCTGTCATTACAGAGCTTAGATCTGTGCCCCTCAGATGTTCACAGGCAAATAGGAAGCAACAGACACTAAGCTGCTAAGGGAAGAGACCCTCATAGTCACTGAGCCCCTTCGAGGAGCTGGCAGACACTCCCCATGCCTACTCTCTCTAGCACTTGAAAGTGATAAGCTCTAAGTTCACACAAAGCAAGGGAGCTGAAGGATCTCTTCTGGAACTGAGATTCCCCTACATTTTATCAGTTATTCTTCACAATAACCCTATGAGGCAGATAAGAAAACTGAAACTGAGCCTTGGAAACGCTGTCATGTAGCCAAGGACACTTGGCTAGGCCTGCTGCCTCTCGGAGGTGAACCCGGATGGACCTCCGCAAGCCAGGGGTCCTCATCACTACCCTGGGCTCTACCAGCCATCTGAGTGAAGAGGGAGCACCCAGGCCTCAGCGTCCGATGGCCGGACTGGCCCCACCTTGCACACCACCTGGTCTGCCTGAGCGAGCTTCACCTCTACCGTGTCAAATCCCAGAGTAGCTGCCCCGATTCCCTAAGCTCCCATCTATGAAAATGCTGTGACGTGGTGAATCACCGTTCCAATATAAGGGACCATCACTTCTGTTACAACGTATAACCTGAACTCTTCCCATGTCCCATCACGGGGCTGACGCTGCGGAAGGCGCCTGAGCCTCCTGCACACGGCTACCACAGAGGAAGGAGCCTCCCGCATGCCACTCAGGAAGTGAACTGGCAATCAATGCGGTTTACACAGAAACACCGAATAAGTAGTCCCTCCTTAGCCGTAGTTTCACTTTCCACGATTTCCGCCATCGGCAGACAGCCATGGTCTGAAAACAGTAGATGGAAAATTCCAGCAGTAAACAATTCCTGAGTTGGAAACCGCACGCTGCTCTGAGCAACACGACGCACCCGCTCGCTGCCGCGCTCCATCCCTCCCGGAGTGCGCGGCGCCCTCGCCCGCGTCTCCACGCTGTCACACCGCCGCCCCTCGGCCGCTCCGTGGCCACTCGCTTATCGGGCCGCGTAGCAGGGCGAGAGGGCCCACGTTCACTGCAGCTGTAACTGCTGTTTTATGACTAGGGGGTGTTAGTCTCTCACCGTGGATTAGACTTCCTCCGAGGCACGTACGCATAGGACAAAACACAGCATGTACGGGGCTCGGCACTCTGTGGTGTCAGGCACCCGCGGGGGTCTGGGAACGTGCTCCCCACAGATGCGGGGGGCTACGGCGTCCTCTGCAGTGTCAACCTAGGTCCATCGTCGAGTACGGAAAGTGACTCGGAGCTGGGGTTTGGGTCAGAACATTTTGGGTTCAAATCCCAGCACTTCGGCTGCGTAGCTCAGGGCAAGTTGCCTCTCTGGCCTCCGTCCCTCAGAATGTTAGTGTCTAGTTCAGAAGGTGGAGGCGGATATTCCAGAATATGCATTGGCACAGAGAGGCTAATAAGGTATCGGCTGTCACTATTACTATCGTTAGTCCCATGACCCAGATAATAGTGACATGCACAGATGCATGTAATGGTTTTCGACTGTGTATTTCTAAATTCTATTTTAATTTCAAATGTATATATTTAGTAACTGTCATTAATGCCTTTTAATCAGGGAACTATACAGAAATGCCACCTAACGTTCACATTAACATAAATGGAGTGCTGATCACTTCTAGAGGGACGGGACTCGATGCGAAGCATCACCTGGTGCGGCTTGCCTGCTCGCTGAAAAAAATCGCAGTAGATGTGCCCCAACAGTCCCTCGGATTCGTGCACCACAGCCTGGAAAAAAACAGTTTTCATTTAATTGAATGAGTCCACGAGAAACTCTGCAAATGTGAAAACATCCCCAGCACAAGAATCCATACAGGGCGGGGCAAAATGAAGTCCATAGCTACATGTGAAACCGAGTTTCTTCTTGTATGATATTATTATGTATTAACGGTTGTATTGTTTTCCACACAAACAACTGGTAACCTACTTTTGCCCCACCCTACACATAAAGCATGCACGGTTACCACATACAGACATTTTATTACTTTCTGCATCCCGCGTTATCTCGAGATGGGTTCTATCACCTCTCCATCTCTCGGGTGACTTTGAGGCGGGAATTGCAAGCAGGGGAGGAAGGCCCCCCCCCCTTCGCTGGGCCCCTCTCCCCAGCTGCCCGTCCCCGCGACGCCTCCCCCACACCCAGCTCTTCAGACGGTCCACAAACCCCCGAAGGGAGCTGGGAGTAAGTGCTGGCGGAACAATTCTAGTAGCAAAATTATTTCTCCAAATCGTAGAATGTAATAATAAATGTCTGTAAAAATTACCGTATTTTGCCGTGTACAATGTGCTCCCATGTTCTTGGTCCAAATGTCCATGGAAAAAAAAATCTTTCACTTTAACTTTTTAATCTAATTACTTATTTATATTTAGAAACAAAACGAATTATCATATTCCAGGGTATTATTTTGCCTGTGGATTTTGCTTTCTAGAGTTACACTTTTAATGCATAAGCAAAAGTAAAAGAATTAAAAACATTTACATAGGGTCAGAATTGGTACTACCCATGTATAATGTGCATCCTTATTTTCCCCTCAAAGATTTGGGCAAAAATACGTGCACTATACACAGTAAAATACGGTACAACCCTTGAACACAAACGACCAGGCTGTAGCTTCTGGCGCCAGCCGACGATCGGTACAGTCGTTGTGTATGTCCCCCCGCAGCCTGAGCCTATCAAAGAGGCGCCGCTTCGGGGAGGGGGCTCCCCTACTCGTCTCCATCTTGCCTTCTCTGTCTTTTCACAACTTGAGGCTCTGCCAGTATGAATCTCAATTTTATGCTCTAACCTTCTTGTGCACACATATGCACGAATCGACAAACATCTGCCAACAGAGGTGCCGGGGCAGAGGCCCCCGGGAGCTGGGGACCGCAGAGGACAGAAGGCAAGCAGCGCTGCCCGGGCAGGGCGCAGGCCTTGCAGGGGGCACCTTCCTCGCCCTCTGCACTCTGCCCTTTCCCTCTTCTGTTACCAGCGTTTCTTGTCACTGCATCTCCGCATTTTATCAATCTCTATCATTTTTTAAGTACACGCTATGCAAATACAGAAACACCTGGTGATGAAGTGGCACTACAACGTGCTCCCACCCAATCCTGCCGAGTCCACCACCACACCGATACCATGTTCGTAGGACAGAGCCAAGGGACAAAGGGACAGTTTTTGTTTCTTGAAATAAAGTGGCAGGAGTACAATGTGGTACCCCTACAAACAGCACGAAAACACCAGAACACCACGAAGTCTTTGTGATAAACACATGGGTCAATAAATTCTCAAAGTCTTATCAGAACAAAATAAAATTATTCCAACCTCAAACAAAGTGGGCCCTAATAGGAGATGGGTGGATTCTAGGCTAGCAAGTTATTATTCATAAAGTCAAATCAAAACACAGGAAATAAATTAATGTCTGATGCAAATTAAACTCCTCCAAAACGGGAAGATGCTGGAAGGAGAGGAAAGGTGACCAGCGCAACGGACTCGGGAACTAACCGAAGGGACACGCAGCACAGCAGGGATGGAAGACCGTAGGGACAAGTCTTCCGTTAACTAACTACCGTTTGTCAGCACACGGATTCCCCCCCCACCCCCCAGCAGGCTCCTGAACGTTTTTTTCAGAGAACTAACTCTGCTGTTGTGCGCCTCCATCACTTTCCGGCACTGACGGATCGCAGAGAATGGGGCTTCTTTCCTGACGGGCCTGACATCAGGAGCGGCCCTTCGGGATTTTCGGAACAGGAATCAGGGAGCCCTGCTCCAACCGGGCGAAGCTGCTGAAGAGGCGGGCGCTGTGACGCACTGACTCAGCCCTGCGGCTGCGCGGGTGGGCACCCGGCACGGACGGGAATGCTCACCAGCTTCCGAACGTCTTCACACCACACCTCTCCCTTGGCGGGCTGCTCCGCGTACAGTGAAATCCCGAACAGTCTGTTAAACAAAACATTCAGGCCTTCCATGCACGCTCCAAGGGAGAAGAACGGGCAGTATAAACTGGGCTCGATGTTATACCTAAGAGGAAGAAAAAAAGGTTAAAGAGCGTTTCATTTAATTCAGTTTCTTAAGGTAGATTCAGAGGGCTTTTCGTTTAAAATTTAGAGTCATGCCAGTGATTTAAAATGAATGGAAATGGAGAGGTAAGTTTCCATCTTCTGAGGGAATTTCGGAGAGTTTTCTTCAGAAGAGCAGTCTAAACGTCACGGGGAGTAAGTAGCACCCGTAATTAAGGGGGACGTGCCACCCCGTTCTGGCCCGGCCTGTCACTGGCTCGGTTACGCGGTCTATCTCAACCACGCTAGACAGGGTTTTTATTTTATGCAGGTTTATATACAAAATCTGACCAGTTCGAGCTATAATGGTAAACTAGACTTTATGAAATGTGTTATAGTCTAAAAAATCGCGGCTTAAATCACATAAATATTAAACAAATACATACCCTGAGGCACACAAAGCGAACTGGAAGTTCGTACCGGATAAAATATTTTTTAATGGAAAAAGCTGTCATATAAACAATTAAATCTTAATCAATTTGTTTTATAGTTACATATCTTAAATGAAGGACAGCATACTGGCAAGGCTAATTGTTCTTTATCCAGAAACAACTTTTTTTATGCTCTCTTCCAATATAAACTGAAGTACATCCACAACATGTGATATGAATGTTTATTTTTGAGTTATTAAGTCAAGACAAACTTAGAACCAAAGCCAGAAAGGATGGCTCTAGCATAATAGCAAGTACTTATTCTATTTCTACTTTCTAGGATTACCAAAATAGAGCCATGCAAATTAAACATATATAAACTTATGCTCACTACGAAATGGGTGATTGGATTTAGTGAGTGAGCACGAACTGCACTGCAAATGAGCTTTTGGCTGTAGAAATCCACACGCATACATTTTAGTTCCTTTTTTTTTTTTTGTAAAAACAGAATCGCAGGGTTGACTGAGACGCTAGTGGTCCGGTGCCCTCTGACTCATTCATTTAGGCGGGTCGTTGACGAACCAGCTGGACGCTGGAGGTGAGGGACGTGCAGAGTCCATCTCCAGGGAGCCAGCTGACTGCGCCGTCAGCAAGCCCAGAGCAGCTGGGGGGCTGGGGGGCCAAGCACTCAACAGACACTGTTCAGGGAGTGAACGCGCAGCACTGGACCAAGCGTGCCAGCTTGAGCTGTAGAGTAGGGGGTTGAAACGGTGAGGGGCTCACAGAAAGAAATTCAGACGCAAGAGTCTGCTGCACAGGGTGGGGACCAGGGATGAGGGGAAGGAGAAATAAGGAGGGAATTCCGGGGAGAAACAACAACGGGACAACAGCAGGAAGACACGCAGTAGCCTGGAAACGTCTAGTAACCAACTTCATCACAGGCATGCGTGACAGGAAAACACAGTAGACAGAGGGTTCACCACTATCCATGGTTTCAGGCCTCTAGGGTGGCTGCCCTTTGGGTCGGAGGGGCTTGGGGACTGACGCCATCGCACACACATTTGTTACAAGGGCAAGTCCTAGAGGGGGCACTGGACCTGCGCCTCCTGGGCGTGTGCACATTCCCTGCAGGGCCTCCAGGAGGGGAGGGAGAGGAGACCAGAGCTCACGGCTAAGGCTTCCTAACAGCAAACCGGGCGACGGAGAGGTGCCCGAGGAAGAAGGAAAACAAGTGGGCGATGAGAAAGTGGAGAAGAGAATGTAGGGAGCATGTACCAAAGGAAAAACCTTAGGAAATGGGAAGCAATATCAAAACCTGCAGAGGCGAGGGGTGTGGAGCGCTAAAACAAGTCACTGAATTTTATTATTGGCAGGTGGCTAATAACTCAGACTCGTCCAAGAGACTCACAGGCTATAAATCTACAGAGATTAGAATCCAGACTACTGTTGGGGCAAGTTTGGCAAGAAAGAAATGAGAGAGGACTACAATCTCTCCCAGGGTCACGGGAGGGGTACTGACTTGTGTTTTAAGATAAGGGCTATCTTGGCTCCTTTGCAGGAAACACCATGGGGAAGAAGTTAATAGAAAGGAGGAGATTAACGATACATTATAAAGAGTTGATGAAGACCCATACTGGTTTGAGATAATATTACCTTATATTTGCTTAGTGCTTTATAAATGCAAACACTTTCACATCAAAAATCTTTCATACTCCTCCCCCTGATTCTGTGAGACAGGTGGCACACCAATCATTACTTAATTTCACTTGTGGAAACTGAGGCTCAAAGAGGCTCAGGACAGTGCAAAGCAGCCGGGGAGAAAGGGACACGCAGCTGAACTGAACTCCTGTGGCCTCCTTCCCAGTTCTGCGCTTTGAACCAGCTGCCTGGCCCGCCAGGCCTCCGCTTCCTCGCCAGCCCGGAGAACAGGGGATAACACAGGCTCGACTCGTGATCAGAGAAGGCGCACTGGCAGCTGCCCTGGGCCCGGGGGCGGGTGCGCCTGCCCCAGATCACTTGCGCCCCCGTGGTGCGTGCTCCCGCTCACTACCTCACTACCGTGCGCCTGGCCACTCCCGGACGTGAGAGGCTGTGACCGCACAGAAGGGCCCACCCGGGGGTACGGCGCTTGAGCGCAGGGCGCAGTGCACCTGGGGACAGTGGCGAAGCTGTGGCCAGTTCCCCCGCCAGCAGGCGGGGTGAGCGTGGAAGGGGCGGGCGAGCTCCACGGGGAGGGGCCGCTGCGGTGGGCGTTGGAAGGTGAGTTCCCTGGCGGGGGAAGGGCGCTGGAGAAGACAGAGCCCCGGCAAGGCTCACGGGCAGGAGGGCAAACGGGGCACACAAGCTCCCTCAAGCAAGGATCGCCTGCTGCTGCCCGATTCAGCCACCTCAGAGCCAGGAAGGGCTCACACTCCTGGGCTCGCCACGCCCTCGGACGCTCTCAGCAACGGGAGGCGACTCCCTTCCCTGAGAAGAGCCAGAACGGGCCGAGCTCAGAGAGGCTGCGAGGGAGTCCAAGTGCCCCTGTGGCGGCAGCCCGGCCCTCGGGCCCTGCCTTTTGCCTCCATGGGCACGTTCAGTGCAGCGTCGGGCCATCCACGGGACGTCTAGTGGTCACAGGTCCCTGAGCCCCATGAGGACGCTCGCCAGTGGCCACCTGAGCTCTGGACACGGCTGCTCCCCGCCTGGTCAGAGCTGAGCGCCGGGACAGTCCTCACTGGGCCTGCAGCCTTTGCAGCCCCAGCACCGTGAGGACCGGCCTGCGGCTCCCTGACCTGCACAGATGCGACACCTAAAAACGCCTCCCTCTGTCTGTAGTCTAGAGAACCCTAAACCGTAGAAAAGCACTGAGCCCTCCAGCACATCAGAGCCACGGCCCAAAGGAAAGAGGGACGTTTAAGTGTGTTTTCAGGATCTCCTCTCACGGCTGCCCCTTCCAGTGCCAGACTCTTTTACGGTTTCAAAACAGAGCTTTACGACTAATTTTTGTAAATATGCTCCACTAATTTGAATCTGGAAAGAAGACTCTTTTGACTACTCTCCCTCAGAAAGAAACAGGAAGAGGGTTACTGTTATCCACCCTCATTGCTAAACAAAGTGTAATAAATGCTCTACTCTTAGTTCTGCTTAAAAATATGCTACCTGTGGGCTTATAAATTTTCAATATCAAAGAACTAGATATACTATAACCAACATGGTAAAATGGTATAATTAGGTCTTTTTAAGAACAACAGAATTTAGCAATGTCTCAAAATCCTCACGAGGGATACTACCATGGAATAAGTACAGAGATAGTCAATCAAAATTTTCAACCAAAGGATTCTTTGTTGCAGCTCGAGTTTTGTTTTTGTTCCAAATCGGTGTATCACCCTGAAGCTCATGCTGTGAGTCACACTTCTGTTTCAGCCTCTGATGCACCTGGTATTAAGGTAAAGAAGGAAGCTGGGCACTGCATCCAACAACGCTGGCGCTGAGCTCAGTGAGAACACAGAACACAACTGAGTCCTGTGCACGAATCCAGGCTCAAGCTACAGCTCAGCAGCCTTACCCCAGCCCAGTCCGTGAGTGAAGGAGGGAGGGAGGGAGGGAGGGAGGGGAGAGAGAGAGAGAGAGAGAGAGAGAGAGAGAGAGAGAGAGAGAGAGAGAGAGAAATAGAGAGAAAGAGGCGTGCGTGTGCCCCGCGGCCGGGGCTTTCCGCGGCTCGCTGCGGGCGCCAGGCGGCCTGCCAGACACAGGAGGACATGTGCGGATGAGGGAGGGCGCAGGCTTAGAAAGAGCTGCACGTGGGACAGCTCTGGCAGAGACGCTATTTTTAACCTTATCAAAATAAAATAAGAAAGACTGTCTTTGGCACCAGAAATGATTATCTAAGCATGATTATAATGTGATCGTTGGGTGGCATTTTGAAATGTTTAGTCTGCAAAGCCACAGGGAAAGCTACTGTTTCATCTGGTTAAATAAAGGTAAGGGAGGATTGAGAGAACTGAATGATGCTAGAGACCTGTTTATCCTTCAGGTAATTACATTGTACTGAGAATAAAGATTGGCCCTGGCCAGGTGGCTCAGCTGGATAGAGCGTCATCCGATGCACCAAGGCCGTGGGTTTTGATCCCTGGTCAGGGCATATACGCGAGGCAACCAATGAACGCACAAGTGAGTGGAACAGCAGGTCCATGTTGCGCTCTCTCTCTCTCAAATCAATCAGTGAAAGAGAAAATGAAAGAAGACTCTTTCTCCTCTCTGTTTTGTAAAATACCAGCCATCGCCAGTGTGGTTCCATCTTGCCCTCTGAAGTCAGAGGCTAGGACACTGCTCCGCCCACACGCCCAGTCATCGGGCAGCGATTTTCCGCCATAGTCAACCAGCCACACAGTTCGCGAGGAACGGAATTCACACAAGTCAAAACTGAAGCCAACAGGTACAGCACGCGCCGCCCCGCGCCCTGGAGAAGCAGGGGGCAAGCCCGCAGGCCGACTCCGGTTGGGGGACAGGGCAGCACAGGACAAGGATGCGGCGCCCGGCGACAGAGGCCTCCTCGCAGAGGCTCCAGCCGGGCCTCGGCACAGAAGTGGGACCCCTCCCTGCACTGCTCCCAGCAGCCTCCTGAGCTGCATCAGTACAGGTGACTGAAGAGCCATGGCTGAAACACAAGAGTAAAACAGAGGAACCAAAAATAATGAGGAGGGCGAGGGGAATAACATCAGCTTATGGGAAGACTGGAACCAACAAAATGACCCCACAGGCGAGCAACCAGGTACATCCCAGAGGGTTGTTAGTTCTGCAGGACAGTCAGCCTGGTCTCCTCGACAAGCGGGGAACCCTGCAGAGGCGGCGAGGCAGCAGGGCCCGCGGCGCGGAGGCCTGCCCGAGAGGAAGGGGCCCAGGGGACAGAGGCGGCCCAGGAGACGTGCAGGCCTTGCAGTCTTGGTTCCAAGTTCGGGGAGAAACACAGATACGGTACCACCGAGGAAACACGAATACAGGCTGCATATTAGATAATGCCAGCAAATGGCTGTGGACCTCATTAGGCAATCATGGTACTGGAGTTATGTAAAAATACCCGTATTTTTAGAGATACGGAATAAACATGTAAGAGTGAGATGACATGAGGTCTACGATGTACTTTAAAATACTTTAGTAACAAGAGAAAGAAAGGAGGAAATAAAAGAAAAAGACAAAAATAGATGAAGCAAATATGGCACAATGTTGACAATTACTGAACCGGAGGGATGACCGTATGGAGGTTACTTACGTTACTCTGTCTCTATCTGTTTATTTTGAAAGTTTTCACAGTAAAGGTTATCTTTTTAAAATTGAAAGCACCTGGCTCACTACACACATACTAAAAAAGTATACAATTTCACATTTCAAACAGAAGTCTTAATTCTTTTGAAATGCCACAATACCATCCCACTGTGAGAGCTCAACGTTGTCTGAATAGTTTAAAATACAAAACATTCCTATTGCGTTATGTAAACATTCTAGAGGTTTAGAGAATATACCTTAGCAAGGAATAGACAATACTGAATTCTACTTCCCAACGGCATCATTACACAAAATAGCACCAGAATAAAATGTGATTCACTGCAACGCATCAGTGGCAAGAAAGAAAGAAAGTCCCCAGGCCTTAAAAACGAGACCGCACGCTAGGAGACCTCAGCCACTTTAGAAAGGCGACGTCTGGAGGCTGTGGCTCGGAGGGCTGCCGCGAGCAGGGGCAGGATGAGACCCACGCTTCTCCATGTGAATACTTTCTGATGTGGTTCTGAGCTTTTGAACCATGTTCACATACTGCCTATTCAAAAATAAAATTTAATTTTAAATAATTTCAATAAACTTTCAATAATTGATTTATTTATTTTAGAGACAGGAAGAGAGAGAGGGGGAGAGAGAGAGACTGAGAGAGAGAGAAACATCGATTTGTTGTTGCACTTATCCATGCACCTATTGGTCGATTCTTGCATGTGCCCTGGCTGGGGACTGAACCCACAACCCTGGCATACTGGGATCATGCTCTAACCAGCTGAGCTCCCTAGTCAGGGCCATACTTTTTGTAATTTAAAGAAGTACTTTTACTTTTCCATAAAGAACTTACCACTATAACTTGACAAAGAAAAAAATCAGCTGCTCTTTAAGATTTACTATGAAGTCAGCCTTTGGCAGCTTTATAGCATGTCAGCTTTCTGTCTTACTTCTAACAGGTTCTTTCTTTTCTTTAGGCAGACATTTAAGAAACCTAAAATAAATCTGAGATATTTAATATAAGGCAAAACAAACAAACAAACGAAAGTCTCTGGGGTTACCGTCAAGAAAAGCTCAGACCAAGGGAAGCCCCTCCAGTTTCTGCGGTGTGCCGAACCACAGCTTCAGGTCTTCGGTTGAAAGGAGAGGAATTTAATTAACAAGGACTTAGAAATCTTCACTTTGTTCCACTCTTCTAACCTCACACCCAAACACTTTTTTCTTCCTTGTCTCATCTATTGCCTGTGTTGCTCAGCCTACTTGTGTCCATCAAGATTACTGAAACTTCAAACTGGACTCAGTCATTTGCCTTTTAAGCTACTTACAATAGGCATTTTAAACCCCCAGTTCTTACAACTCCTTCTCAAGCACCTCCACATCCCTTTTCCTGGCTCCTTTACTGAGTTAATAGCAAAATAAAGGAATGCATACCGAGGCCTAAATTAAGCAAAGTAAAGCCCCTAGTGGACATGAGGCAGGCTGTCACGCTGGGTTCTGGAACAGCTGCTGATTTCCGACTCCCAGCGCCAGGCCTGATGGAAACCTCTGCCAACCAAGGAGCACGAAGACCTCCAGGTGGTCGCACTGCTTTCAACAAATCTGATCAATGAAAACTGTCGTTCACAAAAAACACGGTATCTTTTTACAAAAATATATCACTGGATTGCTTTTATTTAGTAAGAATTTCCCATCACTGGCTTAGGCCCAGGCTTGAACAGGGGCTACCAACTGCTGATCCAAAGGAGCAGACCTGCCAAAAAGGGCTCCTTATGGTTAACGGGGCCTAAGTTAATAATCAGAGTGCAGAGCCAGTGTTTGCAGCGGCCCCTCACACACAGGCGGAAACCACAGGGGGCCGCTGAGTCGGCTGCGTTGCCTTCCCAGTGTCTGAGCCAACCTGCATGCAGGAGTTCTTGGGCTCTATTTCAACCAATGTGCTCAGACCCTTGCCCTGCGCAGCTGTAGCCCCATCCGCACCTTTGCCAACCACAGGGCCTCCAGAAGGACAATCAGGACAGTACTATGTGGACCAATCAAACTGTGCAAATTTGGGTTCCTCATCTGCATAAAAATGGGCCAATCAGAGACCAGGGCAGGCACTTTCTCTATATAAGCAGGCTCCCACTGTTTCCGAGGTGGGGGGACACACTTTTGGAGGCCGTTTCCCAGGTCTGCAAACTGTTCCCCAAATGAACTTTCTCCTCTTACCTCCCCCCCGCCGCCGTGTTGGGGCCTCCTGTTGACAATGGATCAGGGGCAGCAGCCTTGAGTTCACACAACCAATACGCACTCACTGAGAGCCCTAAGTGCGTGTTCCACGTTTCACTGCAAACAAACTCGGCTCTTAGAAGCTTTAAGATATGGCTGAGAAGACACACTCAACAGAATGACAAAAGAACCCATCATCAGACGGCCAATGGTGCGGCACGCAGCTGAGCGTGGTGGACGCCGGGCCCACGGGCCAGCGCGGACCCGGGGCTCCGTGCACCCCCAGCACCACCTCACAGGGCAGCCAGGGAAGGGGGACCAAGGCGACCCGACGGGCACCCAGGCCAGGCTCTTCTGAGACAAAAAGGGATCTGGGTGAGGGACAGGGTTTTAGTGTGGCTTGAACTGTGGAGGAAGAGGAGCGGAGGGAGCGAGCAGGAAGGGCAGGCTATGCCCAACAAGCCGCGGCCGCGGTGTGTGTGTGTTTCCTGTTAAGGAAGAGCAGGCTGTGGCCAGGCCCTAGCCAGCCCTGCGTGACACCCCTGCTGTGTCTGGAAGGCGTCAGCGACCCCACAACCTTAATGAGGACCCAGCGGTGAGCCGCCTCCTGGCCAGTCACAGGATTCTTCCTGCTGGGCACAGCGATGCTGGGACACCCTGGCGGGACGGGCTTCCCCGATCCGGCAGCTTTGGCCTGTCACTGAGGCTCTCCTGATGTGCGTTTTGCAGCTACCCTGATGCGTCCGTTGCATTTTGCACGAGTATTTTCTTAGAGGAGCTGTCAGGGGGTGGGGTGAAGGGCCAGCTGCTGCCCTGCCTGCCCCCCAGCTGCCTGGCCTCCAGGCTCAGGCTGCGGCTTCAGGGCAGGCTGAGCAGGCAGTGCTCCTGGGCCAGGGACCGGTACCCACCCTCCCCAACTCCTCCTCTGCACAGGAAGTGAAGGGGCTGGCGGGCAGGGGCTGGCGGGCAGGGGCTGGCCCTCTCTTCCCCCAGCAGTCCCCAAAGAAAGCCCATGTCCATGGGAAAAAGAAAGTTGTTTAAAAATGCAATACCTGACTACTGAGTCAGGGGCACTAACCTCTTTTCCCTAAGATTGTCAGATACAGAATTGACACCAACCAACACAATAGCAGCCATCTGGTGTGAATGAATCAAGATTAAACTTATTTTTTTTTTTTTTTTGTCAGATCAGCAGAAAATATTTTCTGGTGTGCCGCAGACTTTTAGCACCCAGCATATGTGAGCCAGGAGACGGAAAAGGCTGACAACCGCTGCTCCCGCAGAATGCCCATGAGGGCCGAGCACATGTAACACTGCGGTTCAGTACGGATGCGCTTCACTGAACCCTGACCTATGACGGAGGGACGGCAATAAACCCCACGTTACAGAGAACCCTGCTAAGGGACCCAGAGAGGACAGGTAGCTCCCCAAAGGCCGTGCACAGCTCGCTGAGATGGGGCGGGCGCTGAGCGGCCAGGGGAGGGGCGGGCCTGGAGGAGACACAGGGTTGCGACGAGGGCAACCGAGAGAGGAGAGGAGAGGCATGACCGATGCTCAGAGGACTCAAGGAACATTAGTTTTTTTCTTCCTTTGCAAAAGACCTTACCTTTCGGCACGGAGCACACCACTGTAGTAGGGGGCATCCCAAGGCATTAGTTCCTACGATGGAAAAATTCGCTGTTACAAAAGCTATGGACTATTTCACAATTTTTATCAGTGATTCAGCTAGCCTATAAAATGGAGACCTGTTATTAAATCGGAAAAGTTCTATGACACCCTAAAAATGCATGGCTTGGCAGGAAATACCTGCCTCTTTATTTTAATTTTCCTGTAATCAATGAGTAGAGAGGTATAAGTAAGGCATAATCCTGGAATTTAGGGAAAAGGTAAACAAATGTCATTCTGAAATGCAAACTAATAAAAGTCAACATTAATAGATTAAATTAGCCATGTTGAAATTTCTCCCAAAACATAACCCATGTACTAATCCATAAAACATACTGCAGCTAAGATTAGTGTACTAAAGCTAAGATTAGGTTCTTTCTATACCTAAGCAAGAAGCTTAGGGCGGATCCTCAAAATGAAAGCAACAATTTAAAATGTAACTAAAGCAGAATTAACTCTAATCTTGGCAAAGAAAATATGTCATAGAGAAACATATTGTAATAATAAATTTTTTTGACAACTGTGAAGAACACAGGAGGGAAAAAGCCTGACTACCTGAGGGATCACCGCCCACAAAGTGTCCGCTGACGAGCGGCGGGTGCGAGGCTGCGCGCAGTCAGCCCACGCGGGTTCCAGCCTTCGCTCCGCGCCGGTTTTAAGCTTGGAGAGCCCTTTCCGCTCACGGGGCATCCCCGTTTTCCGCCCAGCGACCTGACCCTGCTCGGAGGGTCCCCTGGGCCCGCCTCCTGTGACTCGCGCCCACTCACTCCGCGCGGGCCACACCAGCCTCCTCGTGGTCCCTGGTCGCACGGGCCGCCTCCTGCCTCTGCACCCGCCACTCCTCTCCCTGAGGACGCCCTTCCGTGCGGTCTCCCGGTGCGCTGCTCATCGCCTCCACGTCTCTGCTCCAGTTACTGGCCAGGGCGCATGGGACCGCAGCTCCATCCTTTCCGTCCGCATTTCTTCCCCGACAGCCTCCATCGCCGTATGACACAGCGCGTTTACTTTTATTTGTTCACTGTGTTTTCCTCTCCAGAACGTAAGCTCCGTGAGGGCAGGCAGGGACCTCGGTGGCATTTTTCCCTATTACATCCTGGTGGCACCCCGCGCTGCTTGAGACTCCATATCCATTCAGTAGCCAGGTCTGAATGAGTCACCCCCAAACCAGGCTGCCTAACGTGCTGAACTGTTGCCAGGACACTGGGCATCAAGTAAGCGCTCCATGCGTGTGGGTTTCTGTCCTCATTACCCCTGTCCTTCAGAATTTCAGTGTAGACATCATCTCCTTGAAGAGGAAGGTCTTCTTTCTCCTGTCCCATGACCGTACGTCTCTCACAACATACACCAAGGTCAGATGCTTGTAGGTTCATCTCCTTTCTCCCTGTGAGCTCCCGAAGGTCAGGGACAGCATCCCTGGAACTCTAGGCCCTGCCCTGCATTCACACGTAGCTGCTGGCGCACACTTCCCCCACCAGGAGATCGATGACTATCTGCTAGGTGCCAGAGTGCAGGCTCTAATGACGCATCCCCTCACCCACGACCACCGTGCCGACAGATAGTAAACTGAGGGCCCTGAACAAACGGACATCCTGTCTGTGACATTGCGCCACGTGACTCGGCGCCTGGGAGAAGGGGTCTAAGCCACCGTGCTGCAGGTGGCCAGGCCTGCCCTGAGTTTTGAAGAACAGGAGCACTTCGTCCAGATGGGGAAGGGGAAAGGCGTTCCTGTGTGTGGGGTTCGTGAATCAGGGGGAGGCAGCCGCCCTAATAGCCCGCCCATAAACATCAGTCACAATGAAAGCACAGAAAAAAGGAAAGCAAGGGACGGCAAAGCCGAAGAAAGTGAAGACAGTGCACGCGCCCCGCACACGTGGGCAGAGAGCAAAGGACTCCAACTCGGTGATGGGGCAGCGGAAGGCAGGGCCAGAGGAGCAGGCGGGGTCAACGACTCCAAGGGCTTGGAGAACAAAGCGGAGAAATGGGAGGCTCCATCTAAAAATTGCAGGAGCGACTGAAAATTTTAACCGCGAGAGTGACACGATCAGATCTGCTTTTTAGAAAAACCCCTCTGGTGGCAATTCATTGATTCATTCATTTGTTCCTCTACTCATTGATATTTCAAATAGGGCCAAGTCCCTGCTCTGTCTCTAACACGGAGCCAGACACATGCTGGCACCGGCCGAGACAGTTTGGAGGGCAGGCAGACAAAGGCTAGAAACCCAGCCCGGCAGCCACTGTTGGCCGGGTGAGAAGTGACCGTGGCTTCGGCCAGGGCTGCGGCACGGGCACGAAGAGAGAAGGGCACGTGGCCTTCTTACAAGGGCAGCCCCTGCGGACTTGACAGTGCCACCGAGGGGTGGGGCTGAGCCACCCGGAGGGCGTGGGGAGGCAAAGCGCAGCCCGCAGCCTCTGATCCAGCGGCCTCGCCCCGGGGCTCCAGGTTTGGCACTTCGGAAGGGTTCCGGGGGTGCTCCCGCTTCTGGCCCAGAGAATGCGCGCGGACAGCCACGGGTCTCCGGCTCGCCCAGGCTCCGGCTCGGGGAGCGGGCGAGAGGGGAGCAAGTCCCCAGACGCGGACTGGGGCGGGACCCCTGCCAAAGGACCCAGATGGGCCAGCGGCTATGCAGAGATGTCTAGGGAGGAGGGTTTCACGTCGCGATGGCTTTGAATCAGCTGGCATCTGGCAGCCCATTTTCTTTTTCCTCCTTCTGTATCCCTCAGAGGAAATTCTGACCCACGGCCTGGCTTCCTAAGTGGACTCGTCCACCGAGCCCACGTGGGCACACGCCTAGTTACTTTGCTGGGATGGCTCCTACCACACATTCAGAAGGCGGCTTGCTTCACAGAGTGGTGAACGTGGCGGGGCTCCCCTGTTTCTCAGTGGCCGCGCCTGCGAGGCTGACACACGGCACCACGGGAGACTGGCCGAAGCAACCCCCGAGGCCCCGGGGTGCCCCCAAATCAAGTGGGAGGCCGGGTCCTCACACAGGGACCCTAGCGCTTCCTGGCCGCCCTACCACGGGGCCAGCATTCGGGCCCTAAGGACGTGCGAGTCTGTGCTATTAGATCATGTGATCCATTTCATTTTGGGATTGAAAACAGCAAGTATCTTCAGGACAGGCACACTCGGCCAGTCATATCAATTTGTGTGAGTGCCATAACCAGCAGGCAAACTGCCGCCCACCCGCCAGCCCCAGCCCGCCCCGAGGCTCCCTGGGCCGCTCAGGCCGAGCAGCCCGCCTCCGAGGAACTGGGCCGCCTCTGCGGAACTGGGCCGCCTCCGCTGGGCGGGGCCCGCGCGGTGTTGACGCGCATTTACATTCGTGCGTGTCTGTGCGCCCCTCGGCCTTACGTCCGCTAAGAGCAGAGGTGCACCGCACCTCCTGGGAATGGCAGGCCCGGACATCTGGACCAAATGCCTCCAGGTCTTTGTTCACCAAACGAGGATCAGAGACAAACGACGTATGCCTGCCGCGTCACGAGAAAGCTCTCCAGCCAAAAGATAATGACCTCAGCGGACTGTTTATATTATAATAAAAACGTTCCAACATAGTTACTTACAGAATTTTGAGGATTTAGTTTCATTTTCATCCTTCGCATCATCTCGAAATCTTTTATAGTTCTGTAAAACAGGTTTGTTATTACTTGTTAAACAAAATTTGAGTAAGTATATTATAAAAAACTAGTTGCTTATGTTACTTTCCAATACGCACGATAAAATTAGAAGTAATTTGCAATTCGAATATAAACCCGTATTAATCCCATTGGACATGTGTTAGAAGAGAGAGAAATACACACATCTGCAAATGATGGCAACTTCTACTTTCAAAAAGCATCTTGACAGATACATGTCTTGAAAGTCCGAAAGCGCAGACAGATGTGCAACGTAACAGAAACAAAGTACTGATCTCCGAACTTTAAATCACGACTATTTGCTATACCTTAGAGAGGCAAAAAACTAGCATACTACTTCCTATAAGAGAGTACTAACATAGATTATATTTAAGATGACTATGCATAATTCTTCCCCTACAGAAGAACACTAGCTGGGCAGTAATCAAATGCATGATTAGTGTTTGTGGAATATGGTTTCTGTTAGAATTAACTCCTACATATAACTGTAAAAATCTGAGGATGTTTGCTCAAAATACAATCTAAGCTACGTACAAGTAGAGAAGGAATACTAACAGCCAACAAAGCAGAGTAGAATAAATTTTCAACTAACTGCATAATTAACATTTCCTCTTCGTTATATATCACAGCCATAGTTATGTGCTGGGTTAAAAGAAAAGTTTAGGATTTATAAATATAATCCAAATTAGAGAGGATTAAAGAGACATGAGTTTAGAATAGAAAATGGAAATTTGAGCTAAAATTTAACATGTTGGTGTAATCAAAAAAAATTTTAGACAGTACTTTAAGAAATGAGAACACATGACCCTCTTTCTTTTTTACTAAATTTACAGGGGTGACAGTGGGTGGTAAAATTACATAGGCTTCCAGTGTACCATTCTACAATACATCATCTGTATATTAGGAGTGTGCCATCCAAAGTTGAATCTCCTTTGACACCGTATGTTTGACCCCCTCTACCCTTTACTGCCTCGTTCAAACCCCCTCTCCCTCTGGTAACCACCGCACTGTTGTCTGCGGCCCTGAGTTTTTGTTGTTTGTCTCGTTTGTTCATTTGCCATCTTCAGTTTTATATCCCACGAATGAGGGAAATCACACGGTTCCTGACTTTTCTGGAAGGCGACCCTCTTTGACAAACCAGGGCCAGCGCCTCCTGGAACCCAGGCGTGTGGCACCTTCTGGAGCGCCGCCCTCCACGGGGTAGGGGAAGAGGGATGGGGAGGGACCAGGGGAGGGACCAAGGCTGGGTGTCGGGGAGCAGGGCGAGTGTGACCGAGGGGCGGCCTGGAGAAAGGGACGCGCTCCGGCCAGAGATCGCACAGGGCAGAGCGCAGCGCTCTCAAAACACACAGGGTTGGAATGCGGACCCCCTCGCCGCCCCGGGGGACCGCCCACACTTGGGCCAACACTGCTGGACAAAAGGACGGAAACTAAACACTAAAGGACAAAAACACTGTTTTCAGAGCTTGTCCTAAAACTGGTGGTACAAATGAAAACATAGTTTCAAAACGGCTTGGCAAATTTCTGAACTGCACGTCAGCGATGATTTCCTGAAGACAGAGGCCCAGAGGGCCCGGCCGCACTCTCGAGGGCGCCACCTCTGGGGGTGACCGTGCCCACAGCGCGCCCCGGGGCCCAGCCGGTCTGGCTCGCAGCCCCTGGGACCGGCGCCTCCGTCCGGCACGCACATCCTTCATGGGCCACGTCCTCATAGTTCTATAAATGCCAAGAAGACAAATGACATCTAAAGAGTAGAATAAAAACCAACCTTTCCGAAAGTTTGTCAGACAGTTTCTCAAGGAACTCCATGACAGTCTCTAAAAATAAAATCCAAAAGAAAATACCTTTAATGACATACAAAAATAAACATACCTGTAAAAGTTATAATGTGATGATCATTATATACTGTAATGTGCTCAAATTGATGATTTTTAAAGAGGAAACAGCATTGCTAATATTACTAGGCATATAATAAATATTTCTAGATAATAATCTCTTTATCAGAAAAAAAATTCAACCAACACAGTAATAATCCAAAGCCTTAGGTTTTATCCCAAAATGAAAAGAGTTAATGGGAGGCTAAAGAAGAAAATTTTAAATTTCAAAATGTTTCTAACTATACGTGTAAGGAAAAAAAAGTTACTAAGACATGTCTGACTTTTTCTGAGTTTTAAAGAGATAGCAAGACTGATTTGTGGATAAAATTTAGTACAATTTATATTTTACAAAATCAATCCAACAAGAAGATATAATACTTGTAACAATTACTCCTAAAATTTATATGGAACCACAAAAGACCTTGAATAGACAAAGGAATCATGAGAAAGAAGAATTATATTAGAGGTATTAGGCATCCTGATTTCAAACTGTACTACAAAGCTACACTAATCAAAACAGTATGGTGCCAGCACAAAAACAGACACGCAAGTCAGTGGAACAGAATCGAGAGAGATAAAAACATACTTACATATGGTCAATTAATCAATGACAAAGAAGACAAAGATATAAGATATTTAATGAGGTAAAGACAGTCTCTTCAATAGGTGTATTGGGAAAACTGGACAGATACATGAGAAAGAAACAAAGGTAGACCACTTTCTTATACCATATACAAAAACAAACTCAAAATGGATTAAAAAGTTAAATGTAAAACCCGAATCCATAAACCTACGAGGAGAAAACATAGGCAGTAAGCTCTCCAACATCAGCCTTAGCAATATCTTATTGGAAATGTCTACTCAGGCAAAAGCAACAACAGCAAAAATAAACAAAGGGGGTTACATCAAACTAAGAGGCTTTTGCAAAGCAAAGGAAACCATCAACAAGGTGGGAGAAGGTATTTACAGTTAATATATTCAATAAGAGGTTAATATCTAAAATATAGAACTCACACAGTTCAACATAAAAAACAAAACCCAATAAAAAAAAAAAAACGGGCAGAGGACCTTAACAGACATTTCTCCAAAGAAGACGCACAAATAGCAAACACATATGTGAAAAGATGCTCAACATTACTAATCATCAAGGAAATGGAAATTAAAACCACAATGAGCTAGCACCTCCCACCTGTCAGAATGGCTATTATCACAAAAGACAACAAATAACAAGTGCTGGTGAGGAAGCGAAGAACAGGAACCCTCGCTTCCCACGGAGGGGCTGTAAACTGGTGTAGCTACTGTGGAAATAGAAAACAGTAAGGGTATTCCTCAAAAAACGAAAAATGTAACTACCATATGACCCAGCAATTCCACTTCTGGGTATATATCCGAAGAAAGCAAAAGCTTTAATTCAAAAAAACATACGCACCCTATGTTCACAGCAGCATTGTTTATAATAGTGAAGATATGAAAGCAACCTAGGTGTCCATGGATAGATGACTGGATAGAAAAAGAGAACAGTTGTGGTACATATATACAATGGAATAAAACTCAGCTATAAAAAAACAATGAAATATTGCCATTTGGGAAAACATGGATGAACGCAGAGATTATTATGTTAGCAGAAATACACTGGACAGAGAAAGACTGACGCTGCGTGATTTCACTTATGTGTAGAATCTGAGAACAAACAAAACAAAACAGAAACAAACTCACAGATAGAGAACAAAGTGATGGCTGCCAGAGGGGATGGGGTGGGAGGCTGAGCTGAAAAAGGGAAAGAGAAAGCAGCAGCACAGGCTGCCAGTTATAAGAACAGTCGCAAGGCTGTAATGTGCAACACAGGGAACAGAGCCAACGACATTGTAGTAACCGTGCATGGTGACACATGGTTACGAGACTTGTGGTGGTGATCACTTTACAAGGAATATAAATGTCGAATCGCTATGTTGTACCCCTGAAAGTTATATAATACGGCACGTCAACTATAATAAAAAATAAAGTCATAAAACAATTTCTTAAGTCTGAATTTCAGTTCCATAAAAATTCTCTTTTGCTGTAAAAGGCGGGGACACAGGCGTACCTGGATTTTTGGCTATTGTCCCTTGGAGAGCTCGGTGTGAGTACGTGGCGTACCCCACCAGCTTAGCCAGGCGGTCCCTGTTGCTGAGCAGCTCCTCTAAACACCTCAGCTGACTGGCATTGGGGTAAAGAAAAATTTTATAAGCAGCTTCTCGCACCTATATTGAAAGAGCAAATGGTACAAGATGTAAATGCCGTGATATAAAGTCCTGTGCAATAATAGTACAGGTTACCTCCCACCATTTTATTCTTCAGGTGACTGCTGCTCTAAAAATGAAATAATGGTTTGCGCAAGGTGAATCAAGCTTTTAGAGTAATGACCTAGTATGAGATACAGCACCACACTGGACTAGAGTTCTCTGTTACGGGGTGTGGTCAGACAAAATTGTATCCAAAGCACGTGCCATAAAGCACCTTTAACCAGGCGAAGTACGACTAACATGCATTAAGAAATCTGAGTAGTCTAGAATGTCAATAACTGCTGTGATTTATCATACTTTAAAAATGAGTTCTTCTTTAGACATGATTAAACCACTTTCATCATTGAGAGCATTTATGGAATTAATAATCCCAAGGTTAAATTTTTAGGGCTTAGCAACAGTGAAGTGTCTTTAATGGCAGGATTATATCATCACGGAATCCGGGGTTAAAACGGCAGCAGCACAGAGGCGGGCCCTGAGCAACAAGGAGAATGGGGGACACGTACCAAGTCATCTGGTGCCTCCGCATGCAGACCGTCAACTATGATGTGATCCCCGGCAAGAACAAAGTGCTTGTGGATGTGCTCTGGCAAGAGATGCTTCTCTATCTTGGTGGGAAAGTTGGCTCCCGCAAGAAATGTGCTGCTCAGGTCCAAGATTCTAACATTCAGGTCCACCGCTCTTTTGCGCTGTATGTGGGGGACCGCGAAAGTTATTGCAAGGCATTTAAAGTCATATTTTATGACTAACAGACAATCTATATGGAGGGCAAATCACCATTAATATTTGAATTACAATTTACTAAGATACTAAATATACTAAATAATAAAATGCATATTGAACATGTTAATGTCCTAAATATATAGCAGACTGCAATATATTAATTATGTTTTTGATAGACATTTAATCTCCAAAGAAAAATATTATCCTTATGGCAGTACAGTGTTCCCATGCATTAAGACTTACATAACTTCTGGAGTTCTATTTTATGTCTAGGTTAGATAATTAATCTTTGGAATTAACAACATTAAGAAGTACAGAATCTTCTCTTATCCCTCAAAGGATCTCTTAGTGAAGAGATTCTAGTTGATTCCAGTCAATACAATGCTTAAAAGTATTTTCAGATTAAAAGATTAAGCATTTGAAAGGCAGGCGAGAAAATACACTCAGTCTTAGAAGATTATAGACTAGAACGGTCGGGGGAGAGAAAAGGAATCGTTGTAATTCTTCACAGGAGCGCGGAGAACCTCCCAAAGGGGACACGCACTTGAGAAGCTCGGACGCGGCACAGGCTGGAGGGTGTAGAGAAGGGCAGCTGTGGCCGAGAGAGCCAGGCTGCGCCCCGGGGGCCGGCCCTCAGACAGCGCGATGACCACGGGCTGGTGTGGGCCCGCCTATGAGAGTTTTATCCCGCAGTCGCGCCTTCTGGACACACAATCTCTTGAATAAATGTGTGTTATTAAAGGGGCACCACAAATGTTTTGGATGAACTATGAACTGCAGTGGAGGCGTGCTGGAGGGCCAGAGGAGGGTTTCAGACGCCGTCACTGGAAGGCGGACGGGCCTCGGGCCCGGGGCTCCTGAGGGCGTCGTGGGAAGGCACGCACAGGTCTTTCTGGGGCAGGTGTCCACCGTTATCAGCAGAGCCTAAAGTCTACTACGATTTGAAAAAATGATTAAGCAGCACTATTTTTAAAGTAAATATACAAGGTGCATATGTACACTGATAAGATGCTAAAAAATTAAATATATATTAATAACCAAAAATATTCATTATAGAAATTTTAACTGCCATGCAAAAAAAGTTTTTCAGATTTCCCCCACATCTTGTCGACTTAGTTTCTGATACAGCCAGTTAGCACCACCTAATGGTAACAAGTGGAATAACAGAAATGGTGAAAAAAAAATTCCAGGGTAGTTCTAAAAATTTCCCCCAAAGCTTTTATTATGAAAATAAAGTGATAAACTTAATTATTCAAAAGAATTTCCCATCTGTTGAAATTCCTGAAAAAGTAAAAGCTGGTTTACTTCCTGACTTCACCAGCCATCGATGAGGCATTTCATCATCCCGAGATAATTAAATTAGCAGTACTCTGAACTCTAAGATGCCTAAGGAATTATTGCTATTTATTATATAATTCTGAAAAAACATACATGTCCCTTAATTTTAAGCTTGCAGATTATATTCAATGAGAACTTTCAAATTAAATAAGAAAAACCCTAGAAAGAATAGAGAGAGAATGTATGCCTTTACAATTTATGGATTGCTGTTGGGTTTATTTCAAGGCCTTCCCTTTAAAAAGTGGAACGTGTCCCCCTTTTGCCCTGCCCTGGCGGAGCACCTCCGAGAAGGCACGAGAGAGAAACCCGGCAGGCCTCTACTTGCATCTCAACGTCCAAGGGGTCCCAGGGAGTCACCTTCTGGGGAGGGCAGCTGTTCTTGTAAAAACACACGGTGAAGGGAGCAGCGTCAGTGCTAGTGAACGTGGCCTTGACTTGGCACACATTACCTTGCAGTAAAGCTTCAAAAACATCTTTCAGGAAGATTAAGTGAGGTAATAAAACTATTCAGCTACAAGCTACATCTTTCCTCCTGAAGACAGCAAAGTTGATTAATATTAGCTGGCATTATTATGACTCATTATACACTGCTCCATATTTCACTGAGTCCGGAACTGGCAGGCATTAAAACTACGACCCACACTCTGTGTCCCTGAGAAGCCAATAATACGGACGAGCGATGCAGTAACAGTAACCGCAGCCACGCTGATAGGCAGCGGCTTCAGGTAAACACCATGGGCAGGAGGTACGTAAAACAGGCGCGCCAGCCAACACCGAATTCCACCCGGGATGCCGGGCAGGGACGCCGGGCAGGCAACGCCGGGGCGCACGCAGAGCGGGGACACAGGACCACCAGGGGAGGACGCGGAGCCGTGACTTCACGGACCCACAGGGAGAGCTGGGACGGCCCTGCCACGTGCGGACTGCTGCGGACACTTTTTCACGGGCAGCACGAGGTGCTGAACGGTGCGGGCAGCAGAGGAGCGATCGAGCCAGCGCCCTCAGGAAGCGACCCGATGTGCGCAGACAGGCCAGGCGGACGCCAGAAGAGCTGCTGGAGGGGCCGGCTGGGTAGTCGCGAGTGTTCACCATACACGGTGGGCAAGAGTGGGCTTACAGTTGTGAGTACGTGACACACTGGGCTTATTCGTGCGTTATTATTTGTTAATTATCGTATTATTTCCCATATGCACAACGACGTTTGCCCCACCCTGTATGTACGAGGCCACTTACAAGCTCTGTGCCCTTGTATATAAATCACATAACCTCTAGGTATCCCGGTTTCTTCATCTGTGAAGCAGGAGCGACAGAGGCATCGGCCGGGATACGATCCGATGAGACACGCAGGCTCTGAATAGCAAGTGCGCGCTCACTGATCATTAGGAGTGTCAGGAAGACAGAGGACTTTAGGCCTGGCCAGAGGCTTGGTAATGAGAGTCAGGGTGAGTTGTTTTGGGGACGCAGACAGCTGCAGGCGAACCGCCAAAGGAATAACCCAGGTGCTGGGTCACTGATTAAGATGGGAGGCCACTGGGAATGTAAAACGCAACCTGACTCAGAATGGCGGCACCGTTGGGACAGAGACGTAGCCGCCGGCCCGGGAGGGGAAAGCGCGTCCGCCCGGTCGTGGGACCGCACAGCACAGCCTCGTTGCCTGTGGGTGCTGGGGAGGCCTGTGCTGGCTGCGGGCGGGGCCGCGAGCCGCGGGCCGAGCCCTCAGAGCCACAGAGCCACCGCAGTGTGTGAGTGGCCCAGCGGGGCTCTAACCTCGCACCAATCGAAATGGCATTAGCTAGTGCATGGGACACATTCCCTGAGATACTCTAATGGGGAGTCCGGACAGCGCGTAAGGCCCCTCTTGCCACAGCTCGCTCACTGCAGAGCCCGCACGCGCTGCTTCGGGAACAAGACCGTGGGAATCTGTCAGAGACACCTGCGGCATGAAAAGGTCTCGGCGATGTCCCTGTGCCGCCACCTCCCGATCGCAACCTTCCATGGGGGCAGCCTTGCCATCACTGGCCTTGTCTTTCCCAACACTGCCCATCCCACCCGAACCCCAAGACACCCGAAACACCCCATCCTGTCTGAAGCCAGTTTTGAACCCCGAACCATCATGGCTGGCAGGTCAGCTTCCAAGAGCGCTGCATCCAGCAATCGCCTGTGGGAGAGTTTCATAACATGAATGGCCCAAGCGGTTTCAATGTGCGAATTCGTGCCGCACACGTGGAGTGCAGCAACAAGGGCACCAATGAAATGGCAGTAAAACAAGAGGACCCACAACACAGAAAGGGAGGTTTTACCTTTTCTTTGTCTAGATGGATTCCACTGATTTCAAAATCAAACATAAAGAGTTCAGCCACGCGCCTATAAATAAAATGAGACCCAGGTTATAACAGATAATAATAATAATTAACAAAAAATTCATTTTTTGCTAAATAAATGGGCCTTTTTCAATCTCACTGACAAAAAGCCAGATTCCACCTCCCTACACACACTCACACTCCCACACACCCAACACCGCTGGCCGAGGGGTGTTCAAGCTCTCCTGTGGGCCACCCGGGATCTTCCCCGTCATGCTACCTGTACCAGAAGCCTTAAGCCGAACCGAAGGAGTCACGACTACTCCACAGAGGACCAATGTCTCTGCTGCTGTTTTCTAGAGTCGGTGGAAATCTTTTCAGCTGTTCAACTGTCTCCCCTTCAGAAAAGATGCACCACTGCACACCGCGACGCGCCAGAGGAGGCATGCGGAGCGCATGCGCGCTGCAGCCAGGGGAGCCGCGCCGGCCACCTGTGACGCGCGCCCCGCTGGTGGTGGGCGCAGGCAACAGACCCGCACTCTGACCTGCTGCTGGGCGACGGCTCCCGTACGTCCCACACGGCGTGGTCTCACAAGGGGATACATACTTTTTAAATGAATGAATATAAGGTAAAAGAAATAATAGAACTCTTAACAGGGATGCAAATAAAGTGTTTGGTGCGTTCAAAGAGAGGCCGTCCACGATGGCCTCTGAGGTGGCGGCCGCACTGAAAGCACCACCTCGCAGTCCTTCTTCACTGTGGAAGAGCAGGCTCTTCATCGGCTCCCTCCCACCGTCTCTTCTCCTGATGCGACGTCTGCGTAAGCCTTGGAGGGAAGATTCCTCGCTACTTCAAGATTTACTCCTAGTGTGCTTTGTGGAGAGCGACATTCTCGAACGATCATAAAATGCAGCTGCACACTTAACAACAGGCCCTAATTTTCCCAACCTTTCCTCACTGCAGCGATTCCATCAGAACGGCCAGCACAGCACGAGCAGCAATGGCTACCGGGCAGGGGAAGGGAGGGCTCCTGGGTGACACCCAAGGGCGGGGGACCTCTCCTGAACTTTTCTCCTGTACTCTTTTACACTTACAAACGCATTTGCCCTTTTGCATTACAAGTTAATTAATGCCCTTTACTTTCCCATTAGGTACCAGGGAAATAAAACTGCTGACTTCAAAGATACACTAAGTGAGAGAAAATACGTGCGCCCTGGAAAGACACCCTCACCTGGGCCACCAAAGCGTGGGCTGGGACACACAGCTCAAGCACAATAGAGGAAACCTCTAAGGACCTGACCTCCAGGAGATCACGGACCAACGCCCTCCTCAACGTGACTGACACGTTCCAGGACCCGGAAACAAGAGCGCACCCTAGAGGCGGCTGTCGCCCTGGCCCCGACCACAGCCCCCACTCCCAGGCCACCTCCGCTCCAGCCCTGCGCTCCGGCAAGATGACCCTTCTCAACGTGAGAAGTCCTCAGCATGTTCAGCCTGACACCTCACGGTGACATCTTGGACCCTGTCCTCTACGGCCACCCACATCCGGCGCCTCGGCTACAGGCTCTGACAGCATCCGTGACTTCCGCTTTGAAAACAACTGTGGGGTGAACACCCGAGCTTTTACAGAGTCACGGGGTGAGAGGCCTCTGCTGTACAGAGCTGTCAACGCTTTCTACGGGTATTTAAGTATAATACGCAAAGGAGGAACAAAAATAGCTTCAACCAACCAGTGTTTAAATGTCAATATATGTCATGCCAGACATGAAAAGCTATTGTAATTTGCTTTTTACGTGTGCGCCTACTCCTTTCATCGCAGAGCACAAACCCATGAAAGCCGCCATGGTAATGACTTATTTCAACTCCATCCAAATCCCAATAATTAAAAACCAAACAGTTTATACTTGGACAATTTTTCAAAGACCTGTGCAAGAGATTTTCAGTTTTTCTTCCAACTATTAACAGCTACTTAGATATTATACTCTTTGATGCTGTGCTGGAAGCTGAGTTTCTTGGCTAATGAGAATTGTTTCCTTTCTTTTAAATCCTACGGCAAGCTTGAAACCAGAAGCTGGAACACCTCTTTCTGCTAACACTTTTTTCCTTTTTTTTCTGGAGTTACATTATCCCAGTATTTGATCTACCCTTCTGGCTCTCCTTGACTTTTCATAATGGACATATTTATCTTTCTGATTATCGTGCCAATGTACCTTGAATGAGAATTAAAGTTCTTTTAAAATTCTGAAAACTTAATAGGGCACATCAATAATTTAGTAATTTACTTTCTTTCTTAAATAATGTAAAGTGCTTTCCTACCCCCGTTTTCTCTACTTTGTATTGATCTTTCCCAAAGAGTTAACCTAAAAACACCACTCTCTTTTCTAGCAAAGGTATTTGCTGTTTGTTTTAATAAGAAAAGACAGAAGTGAAAAGATTGGTGATGAAAATTTATTCTCTGAGTTTACTGTATAACAGCTTTACTGTAGAAAGGTATGAAAAAATTAAAATCACTAATCCCATCAAAGATAATCACTGTGAAAATTATGGTAGTATTTCTTTCCAATCTACTTTTTCTTTTTTTCTTTTCAAGGCTATGAAGAACATGTTTAGTTAAATAAGTTAGAGGTGTTGGCACAGTGCCCAGCATGTAGCAGGGACTTGAAAAATGTGTGCTGAGTTTCCGAACAGACAGGGAGGCGCTACATTTGCTCCCTCACCTAAAACAGCCACTGCCCCAGGCGCCAGGCCAGGTGGGCCAGGGGTTTGGGGAAGGCCAGCGGCTGCTTGTCCTGAGGGGCCCAGGCGGAGGCAGCGCCTCTGTCTCCTGAGGACACGGGACGGGGGCAGCTGACGTGTGGCTCACGCCAACAACGAGGACTTTCCCTGGCTTTCCTTCTCACCTACTTTCACTGGGCCACGCCACTTATTTAGAATAACCGAGACCCGACCACAGAGACTTCTGTGCCTTGCTTTTTCTTGAAAACTTGAATCACAAAAATGGAATATTTTTCTACATTTTTTTTCTTCAAAAACAAGGCTTTTACTTGTTTTGCTAATAAGGCTGTATAATGCTAAATATAACAAAATTATAACAAAGACTAACTATGGGCATCAGGGTCCACGACACGCGACGCAGTGCTCCCACGCCAGATGCACCCCAGTGCCCACCATCAACGGGTCCCTGCTGAGTAGGGCGGCACGTGGAGTCACAGCCCCATGGAGACAGGAAGGGGACGGAAGCGGGAGGGGGCGGTGACTCGAGGAGGCGAAGGAAGAAAGTGTCCCATAAATAAAAGGTATATATGGGTAAGAAAAAAATACTGATCTCTGAGCTATGACACAAATGACATCTGGGTGGGTTAATGACAAACCCTACAACGCATTTGATAAATGAATGAATTCGAGCAAAGAAAGAGGATCTCCAAAATCCCGTATCAAATATTTTTATCTATTAACCTAGAAATCAAGCCTTTTTAGTGCAGACTGATAAACCTAATGAACCAAAGCAAACCATCTCAAGCCTCTGGACATCCACTGGTAGGGAAACTCAGTGTGCCAGGACCTGCCGGCGGCATCCCTTACGGAGCTTTACGCATGAAGCTGAGTGTAACTATCCGCTGTTCACTCATTGTGCATTCACATCAATGGACATTCATGTTCATTCATTGGTTTGGCACCTGCTCTAGGCCCTGGGCACTGCAGGTGCCCAGGATGCAGCGGTGAACAAAACAAACCAGAACCCTGATCTCAAAGAGCAACTAGTGAAGTAGAAAAATAACAAAGTAACGAACAAGTAAAAGGCTGTGGGGAGATATCAGCGTGAAGGATAAACCTCGGGGATGAGGAGCAGGCCTGTGCGGAGACCTCAGAGGCGGTGCCGGGGAGCACGGGAGCTGCGCGGAGCTCCCTGGGCAGAAGTGCTCCCGGCAGGCCCGGGCCGTGGCGCACACACCCGGGGCCCCCGCCGCCCCGCCTCGCCTCCCCAGCCATGGTCACCATGCACGTGAGTACCTGGTTTCTGGATCAAGGGAGTCCATCAGCTTTTTATCGGCTAGTAATTTCTGCAAACTTTGATATAATTCCACATTTGTGTTCAACCTAGAAAAAAATTACAAATACAAAAATTTAATGATTTTCTAATACCTTCTTTTTGACTTTACATCAAGAGGATGATGCCAGCTTGTGGCCAGAGGCCAAGGGACTGAGCTTTCGTTTTGTCTCTCCACGCGGACCAGGACTAGCCTAACTGTCCTCTGCGTGCTGACAGGAGTCTGTCAGGCAAAGTGGTCAAGCAGGAACCGTTTGGAACGCATGAGGATAAATTTAAGGTCAGTCAGCAGCCGAGCCCGAGGAGCAGACAGGAAGCGGGGAGGGAGCAACGGGGTCACGGGGGACCTAACGGACCCCCGCCGTGGAGACCCAGCCCCAGTGCGCAGTGCACGCCGGCCGCTGGTCTGGAGCCCTGGGCTGCGTGTCCTGGGCCCTGGGCCACCCCCGCCCACCTGGGTGAGTGCGGCAGGCCCACACTGTGAGGGCAGCTCGAGGGTGCAGGCTTCAGGGCCACACTCTCAGGAGGCAACACAGGCCATGACACTCCTCTGCGACCTTGGCCAAGTTATGGGAACCCCTGGGCTTGCTGGGCCACAGGCCGCCCTAAGGTTAATGAGGGTACTGATGAACCCCGCTATTGTCAGGGCAGCAGAGCAGTGAAGGAGAACAAAAGACAGACATGCTGTGCAGGTGAAGTGAAGCCTTTGGACCCCTGACACTTCATACCGACCAGGGTCCCCTGCTGTCCTCCCGGACAAGTGAGAGCCCCGTCCATGGGGGCAGACAGAGCGGGGGCACCGCAGGCAGGCGACCCAGCGCAGCCCGGGCTCCTCTCTGAGGCCTTTTCCCAGGCAACACTCTCTCCCCCGAGGAGTCCCCCGGTTCAGCTCCTTCCCTCCCTTCCTCACTTCTGGAATCGGCAGGGACCAGATTGAGCCCATTCGACACTGTGATTTTCAATGATGGTGACAAAAATCGCTGGCCTCGTCCTTAAGTGCACAAGCGACGCTCAGCAGGGGAGCAGCAGCAGCACATCCTGAAGCGTGAGGCCCTCAGGGAGCCTCGCTGGACCAGAGAAGCCACCGCCACTCGCCCTCCTCCTGCCAAAGCCGGTGTGTGCGAGGCTCGGACGCAGACCGGCCCTGCCCTTTGGTGGCACAGCCAGGCCCGGGGAGCCCGGAGCCCCCGGTGGCTTCAGGACTCTCGCCCGACTTTCCCGCGCGGCACCGAGAGGTCGACACGGCGCTGTCCCCCGCTTGGTTATCTGAGCAGGCGCCGAGGGGGGCTCAGAGATGGCTTCCAATATGTAAAATCCCTTTAAAATAAGTCACTTCGTCACAGCCACAGGGACCGCAAGGCCACTGTGTGGAGCCAACGCTGGCTTCTTGCCCAGTGGTCCCCAGATTGGGAACCTAGAAACTCCGACTTGCCACTGAAATACGAAGGAACGCTTACGTCATGTAAACAATGATGGAGGCTGTTGGAGCTTTGCCACGTTCCTGACACCTTCATGAGCACTTAATATGTACCATTTGATTTTCATCACAACCCTAAGAGGCAAATCATTTTATTACCCCACTGACAGACAAGGACAATGACAGAAATGACAAATACCGAGCCTCAGGTCAGGCTGCTCACGCTGGGAAGGGGATGCAGCGGCCTGGCCCCGGGCCCTCCCCACGCCCCACACCCTGGGCGGCTGCGCAGCGGTCACACAGCACCCCCCGCCCTGCGGAGAGGGACAAGCCCCAGGGAACATTTCCTAGAGCACAACCCCACAAAACTACATCACCCACTATAGTCTCGGAGGGGGGATGGAACATACTTTTCTACCATGGTGCCAATACTTCTACAAGCTTCTTCCGCCGCCTCTCTGAATGCTGGTTCAGGGTGAGCAATTTTCACAAAATCAGCCTATTGAAGAGGAGAGACAAAACCAAAGGGGATTTGGTGGAAGGCTTTCTTCCAAGGTCCAAGGGCAAAATAAAAACCTGTTTTTTAAAAAAGAGCCATTTGGCTTGACCTGCGCATTTCCAGTATTGAAATTTTACTAACTAGTCAGGCAAAGCAGCTTCTTTCTGAACATTATTCTGTTATTCCTTGGAACCAAGTTTGTTTTGGTCCAAAGACTCCAATACTTTCACTAACTTTCTTTTATAAAAGTCCTTCCCCTTCAAACATAAATACATACTAAGTGAATTTTCCCAAATTCTACAGTTCAAAACAGTAGACTCCTATTCAAGTGTTCTACAACTTCCTGATGACACTGTGTACACCGTTTCTCACGTATAAACCTGGTTCCAGAGAACGGTCCTTAGAAGTTTGTCTTTCTCTTTTTTGAAACTGACACACACTATAGTTTCAAGGCCAATTTAGCTATATTCTAGTTTTTTGTGCAGAAAACAAAGGCAATGCATTCTGTCTCCCCAGCCCCTCCGATTACAGTGGGAACACGCAGTCGCAGCCTGCCAGGGACCCCGCGCCCAGCGCGGAGGGGCTGCTGCTGGACCTCAGGGCCGCACTGAGCTTGAGTCCTTTCTTCTTTTCAATGGAATCAATCAAAAACTAGGTTTTACTTTTAATGGTAATGGCAGTATATTGCAAAAGAAAAACACAGGGAAACTATGAAATATCACACATTTTCTCTTTCATTCTCCAAGAATAAAACATGTAAGACTTATAAAATAAAGTCACCACAGGTAAAATTTCCTAATTTTTTTTATCAAATAGTTTTTAATGAAAAACGTTTAAATACAGTTTTACACAACTTTTGATGTGACAATAACATTGGTACTAAAGCACCTGAAAAATGAGCTATGTAACATTAACAACACGTTGTATAAATTACCCATTTACAGTGTTGTAGAATTTACAACTGATATTAAAATTAAAAACACTAGCATACATTTTAAAATTCATTTGCAATAGTGATGAGGAAAACAATACTATTACGTGGCAACTGCACTGAAAGAGAAATAAAACTGACCACTTGGTGGAAAATATAATTTATAAAATCAAAGTCTTACAATGGTATTAAACTTACTGGCAGGTAAAAGCTTAAAAATCCGAAAAGAAAGTCCTCTGAATTTTTTCTATCCAGAGATTTACATATATATTAGTATTTAATGAGGCATTATACTCCATAAATACAAAAACCTTCAAAAAACAGGACAAGCTGAGGGACAGGAAGTTGAAATCTTTTAGCAAAGGGCAAAGGCCAGACGGTGGGCAAGTCCTGGGCCGCCGCTTCATCGGCGCGGAGGCCGGACGATGAGCAAACAGGAGTCCGGGGCTCTGGCCTCAGAGCTGCCCGGCCACGCACAGCGCAGGGCGCAGGCTGATGTTCCCTCTCCCAGACCCCAGCCGCGCGACCCAGCGGAGGAGGTGCGGCCTCCGCCTCCACTCCACCGAGCGAGCGGGGCTCCTGCACGTCGTCCATCCGTCCATCCGTCCTTCCGGCGGAGCAGAGGCGGCGGAGCAGAGCCAGCCTCCCCTGTGGCCAAGACTGCCCGCCTGGAGCCCACAACCCCTCTCGTTTTGTCCTGGAGAAAACCCTTGGCGACGCTTTCCCAGTGTCCTTAAGACTAGGAAGCTCATCGTGACTGTACGGCCCCCTGAGAGGTGCCACTGCTTGATTCAGGGTGGAGAAAGCAAGCTTCGTGAACAATGACAAGACAAACACGGGGAGGGTAAAAGAAGGCCATCTCAAAAGGCGAAAGGCGTAGGACCCCAAGCATCCGACATTTCAGAGGACAAGCCACAGCAGCGGTGCGCGCTGTGCGGTGGGGAGCGGGTGTGGGGCCTAGTGGGAGCTTTTTCTGGAGTGACAGCATATTTAGGGAGCCGGGCTGCGGCGGCAGCTACATGAGAAATGAGGTAAAATTCACAGATCTGTACTCCTCAAAAAGGTCAGTTTTACTGTGTGATGTGTTTGAAGTAAATAAGTCCTTTTTTAAGAGGCGGGGAGTCCACCCAACCTTCCACCTCTCCAGGGAAGGCGCATCAGGCCTGTGCGGCCGGCCAGCGTGTCCCTGCCCAGGGCGCAGGGATCAGCGGGCAGGACAGGGCCTGCCGCAGGTGGCCTGCACTCAGCCCAGCCCCTCCGCGTCCGGGCTGGCTGACCTTGGGCATGTCGCTTAACCTCTCAGTGCCCGGCCTGAAAACCAGACATGGCGAGAAGGCTGAATCAATCCATCCAGGTAAGCGGCTACCAGGGCCTCGTGCCTGGTGAGACGGCACAAAAAGCTGACACTGCCGCGCCCCCGGAGGGCGGAGACTGCGCCCGTCTCCTTCCGGACTGCGTTCCCAGGACAGGGGACAGAGCCCGGGCCTGGCGGGGGCCGGAGGGGAAGCGAGCCTGGAGAGCGCGGCACACAGTGCGGCTCCAGGGGGCGGCAGCCCCGCCGGTGGCGCTGTGACGGCCTCCCCCGACACGCTACGCAGGCGAGACCCCGGGCGGACAGAGGCCACGCCGTGTCTCGGCCGTGGGCGTCCTAGTCGGTGAGGAGACTTAGCCACGTGTCTACTTCCACTTCAAAATGTTAAGGACAAAAGTCTGTAACATAATCAGTTTGAAGTCAAAACCTTTTAATTACACAACGCATTCCCTAAAATGTTTATAAAAACTGGTTTTTATAAGATCTTAATGTAAGTGAACAGGTAATTTATTAGAATTTTGGTAGATATTTTCATAAATGAAGAATCTCTGTCATACAACAAAAGCTGTTATATGAGTAATTATTCTTTTATTATATACTACATGTATATTTTATTAAATGTACATTTGAATGTACAAGTTCTAAATACCACCTTTTCCTACGCGTTTTTCCCACTCCTAATGACAGACTTCACTACAGCAAACCACACCCAACAGCTCGCAAACAGCTGGGATGTTTTTAACCTCATGGTCTAACATTAAACCTAATAAACTTTGCATGTTCTTATCTCGGCAGAGGGAGTTTCAGGTTGAGCAGCAGCCTTACCAAGTCCGCCACCCGGCACAAGGCGTCCGAGAGCTCGTCGAAGAGGAGCACCGTCTGGGGCCCCGGCGGCGTAGAGCACGCGCGCTCCACCAGCAAGTCTGTCTTTCTGAGGGCGTTTTCTTGCGCGACGCGGAAGCCTTCTGGGGCGCTGAGCTCAGGAACTCCAAAAAGACCCTGAAATTCAATGAGTGATTCCAGTTTATTATTGAAAATACGACCTTTTGGTATTACGTATAAATACTGTTTTCATAAAGGAAATTGTGGGTTTTGTTGGTTTATTACATATCTGTAATATCTGTGATCACAGATACCACTTTCACATTCCCCATATTTTAAAAGTATAATTTTTCTTCAATTTTTAATTGTTTTATAAAAAACAATAATACAGCCATAGGGGTTCAAAATCAAGCTCTGCTACTACTCCAGAACAGAACTCAAAAGCGGTTACAAAGACTCAATGAGAAGATACATGTTAAAAAACGAAACGGTTTAAGAGCTGCCAGCACACAGAGAGGACTTAACCAACTGCAGCTGCAGTCAGTGCTGGCTGTGCGAATCTGGCCAGCTTCCCTCTCCACCTGGGCCTCGGTTTTTTCAGGAAGCACAGAAGGGATTACAATACAAGGTTCGAAATTACACCTTAACACACCCTCCGGCCTCTAGTGAGGTCCAGGACAAAGCACCACCAACTGCTCTACAACCATAAATTAGGGACGATGAGGTGATTATCAAGCACACAGGTATTTCGGAAAGACTTGATATACATGATAAACCAAGTCATAGGCTGAAACTGGCAGCAAAATTTTATCCTTTCCAAAAGCATGTCAGTATTTTGATAAAGCCAAAAGCCATTCATCTAACAGGAAGGGCCTCCTGGGACCAGCCCCAGCACACCAGTCCTGGTGCTCAGGAGGGCAGGGAAGCAGCACACATCCGCCCCACTCGCCGCGTGCCCGGAAGTGCGCCACGTGCCTTACACACAAGTCTCTCCTATGAGCCACATGGTCCCAGAGCAGGTGCTGCCACCCACCTTTCGCAGGTAAGGAAAGAGCTTAAGAGGCGAAGGAAAAGGCTGAGGTCAGGAACCCACCACGTCAAAGCCAGAACGTGCATGGGTTCCCTGCACCCGCGAAGCCCGTGCCTTGTCCACACTTCTCTCGGTAACCTGCCTGTCTGCAAGCTTTCTCCTGAGATGCCAAGCCCCCAGAGGCAGACCCGTGCCCTCCATCACCTGGCCAGCTGCCCCGCACGGCGCCTGGTACACAGCGGCCTGGGAGGAACCAAATCATTGGAGCAGATGCTGAACTTTGTGCATCACCTTCGTAGATGCTCCACGTGTCGGTTTTGGGAAATACCAGGAGGTAAAACTCCCAGGCCTGATTAGAGTTACTGATTCTACAAGAAGGGAAGTGAAGGTGTCCACCTCTCTTCAAACTACCTTAAAGAGCTGAAGAAAATAAAGACAGTGGGGGTGGAGCAGAACCAGAACCAAAAATAAACTCGATCTTTACACTGATTTCACCTGAGTCAAGTATACGCCGGTCCCGCTTCCCAGGGCACCTGCCGGTGCTCCCCCCAGAAATTCCAAATCTCAGACCTAAGGTATGGCAATACTAGAAAACTAAATGAACCTTTCTGTTTTCAGTCAAAAAGCAATTTACGTATTTGAAAATCTGGGTTCAGTACCTCCAATCATGAGGAGCCAAAGAAAAACAAAGCTGAAATCAGTTCTACTTCATCTACCCCCAAACCAAGCTCGCCCTTCACTTCTCTCTGCTCAGAACTTAGAGGTAGTTCTCTTCACATCAGTGACATCAATGCCGACATTATTTACCTGAACAGAAGTTGGTGTGGCAAATGTCATACAAAAATAATTTGAAAACAGACTAAGCTAATGAAGGAGATAAAATTAAAAACAAAACAAAACAAAACCACACACCATTAAGTTTACTGCAACCACATTCTAGACTCCACTTTATATGAAAGTTAACGGTACAATGAAGAAATTTCAAAAAGGGGAAAAAAGCTTAGAATGATCAACACCCTCAAAAGCAAAGTAGAACAAGTATCAGGTAGGTCCCTTTCAAGCCTGCCGTCCTTCCACCTTTAAAGCGGCCATTCAATACATAGTATTAATTGAAAACCGAAGCCAGTCACCGCGGATACAGAAATGAACAGAAACTGGGGAATTCAGCCAGTCATGTCCTGCAGGCAGATACGAATGGGACCCACACCGTGGACCTATAGGAAACTAACCTCTTTTCAAAAGATCTGTTTGTTTCAAGGGGGGAAAAAAGCAAGAGAGCCCAAAGCTTTGAAAAAGTTCATGCAATTTCGAGTATCCATGGCATCACTAATGACCGGGCTAAAGGCAAGTCTGTGTTTGCAAAAAAGAATACGTGACACCGCCTGGGAATCCCAGGGCGAAGCCCGTCTCACACACGCGAAGGGCTGGCGCAGAAGTGAACCCGTGCGGGGTCTGGGCGGCGTGCGAGGGGAGGGCGGAACCGGGCAGGCGGAATTCACTTCCAAGGGGCACGATCTAAAGTTCCCGGGGAGCAAAGGATCACCTGGAAAACGGGTCTAGGACCCAAGCTTGGGTGAGGGGCCCCCTAAAGACCGCCCCGCCCCCTGTAACCCAGCCCCTCAAAAAGGTGACCGGCCAGGAGGTCACCAAGAGCGCCCGCAAGGCCCCGCTGTGCAACGTGTGTTCGCAGCCCGTCTCCTTCCGGATCCCGCAAAATCTGCCCCAGCCCGTCCCCGCGGAGAAGGGCGCCAGCTTATCCCGGGTACGCGCCGCTCACCCGGCGCTCTCCAAACAGGTCCAGTCGGCGGCCCTGGGGCTTAACATTGAAGGCGGCACCCACCGGAGACCAGCTGGTGCTGACCCCTCGGAGCCCAGCCCCGAGGCGTCGCAGGCGCGCGCGCCCTGGCAGCAGAGCCGCGGCCCGGGCTGCGAGGCCCCCCGACAGCCCCTTACACAACATCGTGACCCCGGAGCAACCCCGGCCCGAGCCGCGTGTCCCCCCACCCTACACTGCGGCTCCGCGAGGAGCGGCGGCACGGCGTTTCCAAGGCAGCGGGCACACGCCAGTCACGAGGGGCCCTCACGTTCCAATCGGAAAGCGCGACCCTCAGGACGTGAGCACGTCTGCGTGCCCTGGGCAAGAGCGTCGCCTCGCCGCCGGCTCGGCCGCCGCTGCGATCTCGCGCCCCCTTGTGCCTGGAGTCAGGAACGGCCAAGGATTACCTTCCCACCCAGTGACTAAATAGAAATGACCATTTTCCTTTCCTCCTCCCTAATGTCCCTGTAAATACAGACCAGAGATAAGTCACAAGATGGCTTCTTGGAGCACTAAAACGATATCAAAGCCGCCTTTCCACAAGAAACAACATGCAAAGGATTCTTCAGATAATGGAAATGATAAAAAAAATTGCAAATAAATTACAAGAAATGATGCAAGTACTTAAAAATTCACTCTTAGAAAAACATTAAGTTACATGGAATTGGTTTTTGAAAGAACTTTCCCCTATTTTCACCTTTTCATGATGAGTGCAGTAATGAGCGTTGATTAATGTAGCAAAATCATCCCATCATGTCCTCACCGAGCTAATTCGGAGGGACCTACAGGCACGTCTCCATCTTTCTGCTGAACAAGAGGAAGCCTGCGAGAGCTGTGTCGTCGTCCCCAACTGCACACAAGCCATCCGGCCTTTCCCTCCTGTCACCTGCCTCCACACCTGGTCCCCAACCTTCAGCTGCAGTTCGATGCCCCCCGAAGGCGGGTCCTCAGAGCTCCCGGAACCCTCCTCTGTGTGCGGTATTTTTGTCCCATTTTTGCCCCAAGACCGCAGCCCGTCCCTGGAGAAAACTTTGGATCTGGAAACGTGGAGGTCGAGTCGGCGCGACCGGGAGGGAGCAGGCCTGGTTGCAGCGCGTTCAGCAGAGGATGAGAGAGGAGGACTTCAGGCAAAATGACCCGAATGACTCTTGCAAGGAATTTTGCTTAAGAGAGAGAAGAAATCGGGAGGTAGCTGGAAGAAGTGGGCTCGAGAGAGCTCTCTTTCCGGCCCGCTGGGTGGGATTCTTAGGCATATAGACAGGAAATAAAGCACCGAGCATCGAGGCTTTTGTTTCATTTTGGGGACTGAGAGAATAGCGCCCAGCACAGCTACTGCTCAAACCGCGTCTGTTTTCACTCTGTGGTTCGCGCTGCGCAGCGCGGCTGCTCTCTTGAATCTGGTGACCAGGAGTTGGCGTAACCTTTTTATTTTTTAGTGTTTTAATTTTAATTATTCAAAGTAATTTTTTACTTTTTAATTAGAGCTGACATACAGCATTAGATTAGTTTCCAGTGTACAACATAGTGATTATATATCTATATAACTTATTAAGCGGTCACCCCAATAAGCCTAGTACGCACCTGACATTGTGTGTAGTTACCGACTTGGCTCTAGTTATTATTATTGTTGACTATATTCCTTATGCTATACTTTACATCCCTGTGACTGTTTTTGTAACTGGAACTTTGTTCTTTTTAACCCTTTCCCCTTTTTTCACCCATCCCTCCAACCCCTCCCATCTGCCAACCATCTGAATGTTCTGTGTATCTATGAGTCTGTTTCTGTTTTGCTTGTTTGATATTTTAGATTCTATTTTTATGTTCAGCTTTTAACTCTTGAGGTAGGAAGCAGAAGAATCCATAATTCTTATAGAAACTGCCAATTGCCTGTAACAACAAATATCTCCATTCCATTTTCAATTTATTTCTCTCAGTCATTAAAGGCTACACTTGACGCTTAACGCTCTTAAATGTGAAGAGCAAAGACACCCATCCCATTTGTGTTTATTATTTATATATTTCTAGCTCATTACTCCCATCTCTCTTTCTCCTCCTCACTGAAAAATCCTAAATTTAAACCTGCCCGTAGGAGTCGGCCTCCTGCTCCCTGCACAGAGCCGCCTGACCTTCTCCAGACCCCCGAGCACCACGACATCCTTCTTAAAGCAGGCGTCCCACAGAGTCCCTATCGTGAACGCGTTAGGGCTTAAACGAAGCAGGCAGAAAGTTCTATTTTGTTTCCATTCTGATTTCAGAGAACTTACAGTACAGAGAAGGCCAAGGCTGCAGCAGCTCAGGGGACTGATGATGTCTTCAAGCTCTAGTTTACAGCAACTCTCAGATTCCTCTGGAGGGTCATGAGGAGGGAGTCCACTCTTCTTGATGGAAACCAGCACTGCCCTGGCTGGGTCTTCGGGGGCGCTTTTGAAGGAGGAATGCCATGAAAAGGTGAGCTCGGTGTCAACAAGTCTGGGAACCATTGCATTTGCTCATCCTCTGCTGAAGGTTGATAAGGTGTATTATAAGCCAGTAAGTCACATAGAAAGTCAAAGTTTGGGTCTTCCTAGAAGCACACCCTGCAATGAGAATTCAAGGGCAAGTAATTGATCTGGGAGGTCTAGGGAAGAACAGAAGGGGGAAAGCAATACAAGGACAGGAAGAAAGCCGACCAAGGGCACGTTGTCCAGCCTGCCATTGCTGTGGCTGGCAAGAGCTTACACCTGAGGGGAAGCTTTGAGAGGCAACTTGGAGTGCATGCCTCATAACTGTGCCATCTGAGGGACGAAGGGGCTGGGCATTTATACAGTGTCTGTCAGTCGTGAAGCAGGGCCACCCCAATTCCTTCCTGCACTTCCAGCCTGCTGCTGGCTGGCGGCCCCATGGGCTTTGGATGAGTCCCTCAGGCAGAGAGATGCAGAGAGTGGCCACTTGGCATTTGTTGGACGCCTTGAGGAGGGACGCAGGTGGCGGACATGGGCACTATGCAGGAAGCTCTCAGTCCACTTGGGTTTGACCTCGGATTTCCAAATCCCAGTTGGGTATGGAACATGTCCTCCTCTGCCCTCTTAACTTGCGTGCCAAGGCACTCCAGTTTGGGAAACGTAGGGGTACGAGGGTCACAGATTTAACACGTTCCAGAAGAGCACTTAAGGAAAGAAAACTGGCAGTTCTAGCCCCCTGGGTTCTCCCACCGGGACATTTAAGGCATTCTGGACTTCCTGCATGTGTGACAAAGAATGTGGCTAGTAGAACAGAGAAACTGCTTGTTAGAATTGGTTTTCATTTTAGTTATTTAACAATGGAATCGAAGTTAATACATGCGGCTGGTGGCTGCCTTATGGGACGGTGCAATCCTAGAGGCATGGCACCTCCACGGCTGCAGGAGAGAAGGTCACTCTTTCCAAGAGGACATAAACAAGGTAGACAGTGGCCCCAGGTGCTGCTGGGAGCCATCGTGTGACCCTGAGAACAGCTAACCTGGGGACATGGAATGAAGACATCAGAGCCGAATGAATGAGCCAATCGCGGGCAAACAGAAGCGGAGCTCTGATCGTTTTGTGTCTGCAGCCCTATTAAGTATTTATTGATTTCCTTTTAAGTTATCCAGTAAACTCCCTTATTTATTTAACAGTTTGAATCAAAGTTTCTGTTTCTTGCAGTTCAACATCTTCTAGCTGATGGAGCTATGCCTTCCCCCAAATAGCTTGCAGAATAAAATGCCCAATATCTGGAAGGGCATTTTCTATCTTTATATAAAAACCCTTTCTTGCTTTTTGAACCTTTAGACATTTCTTAGCATCTTAAAATGCTTTAAACACACACCTAAGTCCTCTAGTGGCTCTTAGAGCTGTGTTCTTGCTTTCCTCTTGCACAAATATTCACTAACTTCTCTCACACCAAAGGCATCTTAATGACAGTTCTGTGTTTTCTCTTGTCTTCCTCTGATTTTATCAACATTTTAATATGAAAGATGACAAGAAGTTGCCTTTTCAGAGAAAGCAGTGACAGAATTTATAGGGAGGAAACAGCAGGCCAATGGGAAAGCCCGTTTATTGCAACAAACAGTAATGTTTATGGCGTGTTTTCAAGAGCCACGGAGAGCTGGGTGCATGCAAGTAAATGAGACCAGCGATGTTCACAAAGCGGGGCTCTGCTAAGACCGAGGGGGTGAGAAGGAAGGCTGGCCCCGGAAAGGTCAGCAGCCGCCCCGATTACTTCATCGCTCTTCAGAAGAAAAGGCCTACTAGAGATCCTTAGTGCTCTCTCCTCGTGTTAGGCAGCTCCACAGAGTAGGGACCACGGAGGAGCCTCTTAGAAATGACTGCACTCCTGTGTGTACAGCAACAAAGTGCTGGGTGCTGTGGAAGGTGGGGGTTCAAGGACAGCGTCCTGGGAGGGGGACCGGCTAGCTGTCCACGGAAGGTGTGGCATTCTGAAGACGCAAGGCCTCTGCGAGTTGTCGGTCATAGTTGTCACCAGATTCTACACGGCTTTCCCGTTCCGAGCAGAATCATTCCACTTGGCATCATACCAAGAGAAAGGGGGTGCCAGTTCTAGAAATGCCCAGGCCTCTTCAGATCTTGGGCCTGTGCTGTTCCTTTTTCGTGACTCCTGGCTTGATACATGGTCCAATCCCCGCTGCTTCTGGAGTTGAGCTTGAGAGCATCTAGTTTCCTGTCAGTATGAGAAAGGGAGGCTGGACTGGGCCCTGCCACTAACTGCCTGTTCAGTTAGTAGGGGACTAATTTGTTTTGCTGTGAAAATTAATTTCTGAGCTTGAAACAAGATGCTAAGTCATTTTTCAGCCAGGAGTATTGTTATTTCAGATGTAGAGACTTTAATGGAAAACAGAATGTTCCTGTAGTGTTTCACGGATAGGGCTCATCGTGTTCAGGAAAGCTAGTTACCTGGTCACTGACTGTCGCTGGCTGTGACCTTTCCCTCCCAGAGGCCACTCAGGGGCACACAACGTGTGTTCGTCTCTAAGTCTTGCTTTGTGAGAGCGCGTGGCAAGAGCGTCTTAACGCACTGTCTTGAAGGTTCACCAGTATGGTAGCATCTGGCAGGAGATCTCTCTTTTGAAGAGCTGAATACTCTCTCACTGTGTGTGCCTACAACATTTTCTCCATCCACTCATCTGTCCACAGGTGTTCAGGTTGTCGGCACTATTTGGCTCTTGGGAACAATGCTTCCACGGACGTGGGAGAGCACGCAC